TACTAAGTAGAAAAGTTAAGAGAATAAAGAAAAATATCAACCAAGGAATGCTACATGATTTAAGACTAGACTCCAGTCGGGGAATATATGCAGCGAATAATATTCCTTTACCTGTTTCCCGGTATTCAAATACACTAGCAACGACAGTAAATGAGTGCTTACCGACTCAAACGCTGACCATAACGGCAAGGAATATTCTAGATAATTAAGGAAGAAGAATATAAATAATATGAAAGCTTGAATGCCCATACTTGCCTGATCTCGGGTTGCGAGGTCACTACGTTTTTCCTGTCGGCGAAGACTTAGCAATTAACTAAATTCTCAACCTGCAATTTTTTGGCTTTCTTTTGAGGGTGTTTCGAGGAACCTTTTCGATAGGAAAACCCTTCAGTGTTAAAACTCTATTTAAAACCCCATGGCCCTTCGGAGATCACTGCCGACACCTGCATCCGAATGCGTGAGGTACTGAGGGTGTGGCTGCATCCGACTGCGTGAGGTACTGAGGGTGCGGTGATTATTTAGCTCTTTTAGTTTCATCCAACGGTTACCTTGCTTCTACTGAAAAGTAAAAAATTTATAATACGACCTAAATTCCAGAATAAAAAAGGTTTTTGTGGAATGTTTCCGAAGTTCGTTGCAAAGAGAAAAAAAAAACCAAAAAAAAATCGTTTGCTTTCTCCACAGGGGACAAATCCGTTTGACTTCACGTGACCCATTAAGGCTCCTTGAAAAGCGCACAAATTAAAGCTACGTAAGTTCTAAATACTCGATCCGAGCAAACTGATATTACGTGTAACTCACTCAGCTCTGCGATTCATTTATACCTTTTTATAAGATTATTTTGTCACGGAGTTTACGTGTGAGAACTGAAAGAAACTTGTAAAACAAGAAGGGAAAGCAAGGACAGCCGTAAACATGACTACATGCAGTGACTACACACATTTGTATCAATACCAGGTGAACGCTTGTCAAAATTTATTTCATGAACAGCTCCCTGACGTCCCAAAACTCAAACCATTAGAGGAGCACGAAATACCAGAATTTATGATACGTCTAAAGTATAATAAGCCAATCTTGTACGATATCACAGGCTTAAATGCTCAACAAGTGGTGGCCACGCTGGTTGGCATTGTCAACGACAGAGAGAGGTTTACGATAAACAAGAATTTCTACCTGATGATAAAACACAATGCAATGGTACGGGAACTTTTCAGACTCACTGCAAGGCCAACAACACACCAGCCTGGCAATGGCATTATGTCCATGCGTCCGAGGGGAAGTGAAAAATTTGGCAAGTCAAGTGGGAAAACCTATGAGCAGCTCATTGAGGCTTTGAGGGAACATTACCAGGATACTATCACCTTTACGAAGGATATCAGAAAAATATTTCTGAACAATAAAGTGTCCGATTGCAATTTTCCTCAAGTCACCCTTGAAGCCTACATGATTTTGCTTTTTGAAATAGCTCGACGAATGGTAAAGTTAAAAGAACAAAGCGAAAGAAAGGGGCAGTATGATGTCCTTCCAACTGCAAGCGCTATCGTAGGGAGTGTTAAATTGCTCGAGTATGGTAAAGATAATGTATGCACGTTTGAGGACGTTTTTTCTTCTGACGGTAAGTTTCATTTCTTCTCCGGCAAACCTCAGACTAGGAAAAGAGCAATTGGCAACATAACCACAGCCTTAGTTTACGCCGAGAGCGAAAAAACGGCGACCAGTTCGAATATCTCGAAGAAAAGGAAGGTGATGCCAAGCACGGAAATAAATCTTCACCTCAAAGAGCTTGAAGGAAGTTGTTCACGATCACTTTGGGATGTAAACATGATACAAATGAGGTACGCTCTCTCCTTACTTTAAATTGCTGTCCATGTCTTTTTTAAAAAGCTCTTGAATTCGTAAGACCTTCCTAAAAAATTCTTATTTTGTGTACAGAAAATTTTGAAAGCTCAGTTATTCACAGATTTTCTGTGCAAAATTGCACGCAGTCGTTCAACTAGAATTTTTGTACATGTAATGTGAACAAAACATTTACCGTTCTAAACTGCGCCGCGATACAGTTTAGTGTTATTCTTGCTTCTGGCCGTTAAACGTTTTCGTTTGTACATTACAAGAAATACTAATTAACAAAATTGATAAATAGGCCTGAAATGAAGTTAAAGTTAAATTAGTACAATTAATTCATCGCCTTAGCTATGCAACTAAACATCTTTAAATATTTTTCACGTACGTATCTGTCACGCACTTCGGAGGAATGTGATCACAAATATTTCACAGCACTATGATTGGGTTTTACTGTGATCACATGTTGATCGACATGTAGCGTGGCCCATTGGAGATATTTGCAATTGTTATTAGTTGATCCTTGATCGTTGTGTTACGACCGTTGAATATGTGAGAATTGTATATCGCAATACATTGTTGGTTTGGATTAAATCGTGTTGTTACATCGAAAGATACAGTCCTCTTCATTTGTTTGAACCAGCAAGCGGGGTTATAAGAATTCCGCAACACCCTAGTAAGTGAGGTAACAATTTTTCGGGATGACATTATGGATTTCTTTTTCCTTTTCTTCTTATTATCATGGATTTAAGATAAACTAGACCCTGTGAGCAGGGTAACTGGGATACCTGGATGGTACTGGATCCGTGGAATCAAGTGTAGTGATACTACGCGTGTCGGACTAGTATACTGAAGTGTGGCCAAGGGCGTACACCTGTCTCAAAACAAAGGCATGCTATGCATGCAAGAGTTATTTTTGGTAGGGTGGGTGGATTACTTGAAACATTGTAAGTGGTCTACATTCTTACAAAAGGAAAGAAGATTATTAAAACGGGAAAGAATGAAAATGTCGAATTACCTCACACACAGGTATTTTGTGGTAGATTATGTGTGTTGTGCGAATAAATGTAACCAAAAATAAACTGTATTGGTGCCACGGATACCTGTTAGTACAAAATGTAGACAGCAGACTGCAGACCGGATACAAAATATAGACTGCAGAGTGGGTAAAAAATGCAGACTGAGAATCTGAAGAGTTTTTACGTCTGGTATATAATAACATGTCATCTTACAGCTTACCGAGCGTCACGCAATCGCTTTTCCGCGATCAGCCTTCACGATTATTTGCACTATTGTGGAAAATTCCTGGCCCATTTCTTGATGAAAATCGATCGTAATATAATTTCAAGCCTTCGACATAGTTGGTTGGTGTAATGTCTGTACAGATTTTACCAATGTAATAAAAGTAGATGACGTGAATAATAGTGATGGTAAAGCAAGCTTAAAACGGCAACAATCGCCAGAAACTACAACGGATACACAGGGTATGAGTAAGTTTTATTGATTTTACGAGAAAAATCTTCATATTTCGAAATATTCATCGTTGTAAATCGACCATATTTCGTTCCCTATACTATTCCTTATAACGTGTTCAAATTTTCAACGGTTCCTAGCATAACTTACTCTGAGTCACACAACGCGTGACGCGTTCGTGAATTAATCGTTGGCTCTTTCTCGAGACGTGACCTTGGGTTGCCTGTGACAAGACAATTGCGTAAACAATACTTAACATAATAACATTATACACAAAAAACACGGGATTTTAGATCATGTATTTATTATAAAAGAATGTCCATACAACTACAATGAAAAAAAAACATAAGATTCACCTTTCTGATCATGAAATTAATACCATTCGCACTGTTATCGTAGCTACGTTCCCTGGCATCAAGTGAATCCAACAAGGCGTCTTTCTTCACAAGCAGTTTGCATCCATTTGAATTTTGTTCTTCAGTCTCACGGTAGTAGTGTTGTTCAATAGATTGCATAGAGTATATGCAGTTTGGTTTCAGATTTCAGATTTTGCTTTTTACAACTAGTTAACGTTTTCAACTAAGACATTGGCATACTTAACATACAAGACATACAAGGCATTCAATGCTTTCATGGCTTTCAAGCGTTCACGATTCAGTTCGTTCCAAAATTACCGCTCAATAACATCTTTTTGTGTGGATTGGCCGCGAACAATACGACTTGTGTATGCGTCTATAAGTATTTTGAGCGTTTGCGACATAATGCTCCAGATGATCGTAATCCAAACACATTGAAATACAAAACGACTGACAAAATAGTTTTATGGGCAAAAATCTCGTGTTCGTCATGTGACCCGGCCCTGTCCGTGCATGACAACGTCAATCATCATCAAGATAGCACGCGTGGTCAGCATGTGAACACCTCATTGGATCACAGTTAGTTGTCATGGTGTTGAGGGCCCAATGACCTCTGGGTACTATTGCGCAATTTTTCCATTTTGTGGCGGAGGAAAAAAAAAAAAAAAAAGACCAAAAAAAAGGCATTTTATGACTGGGCTACCACAGGTATCCCAGTAAAAAAGACGACAAAAAAACAAAGGCATTTTATGACTGGGCTACCACAGGTATCCCAGTAAAAAGACGACAAAAAAAAAAGGCATTTTAAGACTGGGCTACCACAGGTATCCCAGTAAAAAAAAAAGGGGACAAAAAAACAAAGGCATTTTATGACTGGGCTACCACAGGTATCCCAGTAAAAAAGACGACAAGAAAACAAAGGCATTTTATGACTGGGCTACCACAGGTATCCCAGTAATCATTTTCCACGTCTCAGCACATAAATTTACCTCGCGACTCTTACCTCGAAATCCGGCCCTTCAACTAGCCTTGCAGCGGCAATCCATTTTGATCTCAATAAATTATAGCATCTGCGTTTCCACATCGTATTCACGCATCTCGGCATATTAGGCTATTTAGGCACTGTCTGGAAACGCATGAAGATCTCGAAACGCGCGGCTGTCTCTTAACGCGTGATTGGAACCCTCGTGTGATTGACGACTAGTCCGATTTGTCCAATTATTCATATTCAAATATGGCTAAATTTTTAAATACTCATTGGTATTATTGTCCGATATGAAAAAATCGACAATTCTCAGAAAAAAAGAAACTATTTTTGTACTTGAAAATAGGTCAGAATGAATATGTTATTTATTTTATAAAAAGCGTATCTTACAAAATATCGTTCCTAATAAAAGAAACGACTTGTCTTAAATAAAACAAGACATTTCCTAAAAAGTGGTCACAGTTGCGTTGTTGTTTTCCTAGAGAGATTGATGCTTGCTCCCACTTATCGCTCTAAATGTTTGGAGTTCGTTACAAATTGTCACGTGGGCTTGACGTTATGTTAGCAACAGGTTTTTTTTACTAGCATTTCTGCTTGTCCTTCCACAAATCATAACAACTGTAAAAATTGCGGTCGCCATCAAGATTAATCCTTTTGATTCCATTTTGTTGGACCGTCCATTTTTTACCTGAATCGTTAAAACCGGTGAGATGACTTCATATCGTTCAGCATGATAAGGAGGGGGTGTAAATTTGTGGTTAATTCACGTTTCTTTTCCTCAGCACTGATGTCATCTTAGCCTTTCAAAGAAACGTTGATAATCTTGATGTCGTCGTACGGTTTATCGTCCTTAGGATTTGTCTTCACCTTACTTATCTCTTGCACCACGTCCATTCCTTTGACGACGCGGCCGAACACAGTGTGCTTGTTGTCAAGCCACGGCTGTTGTGACAAGAAGAAAAAAAAATGAACTAACTTTTAATAAGTCAGTGGTGCAAGGTACTTGGAAAGAAAGGTGATAAAACCGAGGTTGTCACAACAGCCAATCAGAACAGGCGAACGGCCTAAAGCGCGGGAAAACGAGGGATACCACGTCGGACTTGATTTTTGTTTAGCATCTGATTGGTTGGGTAAAAGATGAGGCGAGTTTTCTCGACCAATCAAAAGGTCAAAAGAGCTACACTGGGTATAGGCCCATATACGATAGGTTAGGGAATTTCAAGGTTACGCGCTTCCCCGCCTCACAGAAGCTCTTACAACGCGTACCCATATATCATCTTCACAGCGTCAGCTTTCTAAATTTTTTTTTGAAATTGTAATGGTTGTTCTCGTGTCGAACTCTACCCCCTCCGTGGCAGGCTACTGTCCCTTGAAATTCAAAGTTAAAGAAAACCTCAACTGAATGGGTGAAATAAATTGCAAACGTTTTAAGTGAAAAATCTGTTGTCCCCTTTTCTTTGAACGCACCGTTGTCTGAAGAACGATTTCAACTCCGTTTTATCTCTGGTGTACTTACCGTTGGTACAACAGTGATGAAGAACTGCGAGCCGTTTGTGTTCGGTCCTGCATTAGCCATGCTTACTGTAAATGGTCGATCGTGTCGCAAGTTTCTATGAAACTCGTCTTCAAACTCACCACCCCAGATAGATTCCCCTCCAGTGCCATCACCTGATTTACAGAAAAATAAAATCATATAGTTGTAGTCTTGCAGATTTCTCGAAAAAAGTTAAATCGTGATTTGGATGGAAAAGGTGTCTTTTTTTCCCTCAATGAAGTTCCACTGTCCAAAGGCTAACATGCCAGTTTTAAACCTATAACTCACATAACTGACCAATAAATGATTTCTCCTTGCAGTTTCCGTACACTATTAAGTAGAAAAGTTATGAGAATAAAGAAAAATATCAACCATGGGATACTACATGATTAAAGACCAAAATCTCAGAACTAAAGCTGAGAAATATAATTTGGTCAGTAAGGAGAATCACCACTGAGATCTTTGAGCAGAAACGGGAAACAAGGAGACAAAAAGAATCACATGGCTGCGGGGAGACCGAGATAAAATTGGCTCAAGTAACTTGAAAAGGACACACCTCAAGGAACTGTGTTGACTTTCAGGGAAATTGTACCCCTTGCAAATTTCCTCGATAAAAGTCTCGGTCAAGTTTTTGTTGCTTGAGAGGAAATGGAGATTAACCCTTTAACTCCCAGATGAAATTTGTGATTCTCCTTACTGTCAACCATACAATTCTCATAATGTTGGTTCAGAGAATTTAGTATTGGATCAACTTATTATTCCCAAAGTGATATTTTTTCATTATTCTCATCACTCATCTTAATATTGTAAGGAGAAATTCTGTCCATTCATGGGAGTTAAAGGGTTAACTCGTTTCTTACCTTCTGGATCACCAGTTTGTATCATAAACTGATGAATAACGCGGTGGAAAATGTGCGTGTTGTAATAACCATTCTCGCTGTGGGTTGAGAAGTTTTCTACAGTTTTGGGACACCTGGACGTAAAAATGATAAAAAATTAACCATGAATAGAAATTGAACAAAAAGATTTATTTAAATAGAGATGGTAAGTTTTGAGCTCGGTAAAGAAATAGAGAAATATTTTTTTCGTCTTGTCACGAGCGTGGGACAAAGAAAAAATTCTGCGTTCCCAGGAGGAAAGTGGCTCCGATGCTCTACAACTGAGCCACAGTGACTCTACGCGAGTTCCATTACGAAGTTTATATAACATTCGTCCTGCATACTGCTGGGATCAGCACGGTGTCCCATGCTCGTGACAAGACGAAAAACATCTCTTACTAAGATGTATTTACTTTTCATCTTAGTAAACCAGGAAAATTGACGATGACATGGTCTCGCGATAAGGGTCGGTATCGAGATAGCGTGGTCGTTATCTATCATTGATCGTTTCGTTTCGGCTGCTGTATGGTTAAATCTTCGTCACCGATGCGGCTGTATAAGTATGGGTCATTGTCGACGTAGCATGGTGGCTAGCTGCTATTGGAGCGTTTTTCGCGCTCCTATTGGTGCACACGGTTCCTCTTTGGTGATCAAAGACAAGCAGTGCAGCAGTTGAAATGTAAGATCAAGTCTAAATCTTGAGATTAATAATTTCACAAAAAATTAAATTAAAACAGTGTGTTTTCCTTTTATCTGCTCTGAAATCAGTACAAAAATAGAATTAATTTGACTTACTCTTGGCTGAACAGTTTAAAGGTAATGTCACCCATTGTTGTGTGAAGAGTGGCCAGTTCAGGTAGTTTCTTTGTTCCTTCAGACCCCTAAAGTGACACAAAGGAGGAGCGTCAGTTTTGTGGATTAAAAACTTTTTTATTCTTTAACTACATTTCAAGAGTTTTAATTTCCGTTAGAATTAACTGTAAAAAGAGCTTTTGAAGCTACCTGCAAATTGCTTCCCAGACCCTTTTCTCGCGCACGCAAAACAACACGAAAAAAAAAATAATAAAAAAATTAACCAAAACAGAACAAAAAAAGAGTCTAAAAAACCTTTAAAGGTTGCTAAGATCGTCTTATCTTCTGGCGACCGAGCGCTGCCGCCAGAGTGGGTTGATAAGGTCGAGGGAGTGTAGCAGGCTACAGTGGTGAGCTGGTGAGATGACAAATTAAGTGGGGGCGAGGAATTTCTCGACCTCACCAATCCAATATGGCGGCTACGATTCTCAATCGAAATATTTCGCTCTCAGTCACAGGATGAAAAAATACGCTTGCTACGCAAGCTAAGGTGTCAGTTCACTGATAACAAAACGAACTATATTATCTACTAGATAAAAGTTCATCTGGTGCACGGCTCTATCCACCGTGTGTTGTAAATAAAAGACTTCGAAGGTGATCAGGTCGAAAGACTATGATTTCTACTTGAGGTTAATTTTTTAGCGACGAGTAGAATTACTTTGAACGCGTAAAAAAAGCGTGAGGTGTTTTTTAAGTACGAAGAGCATCAAAATGAAAATAATCAACTAAAATTGAACAAGCATGATGAAGAATTGAGAAGATTCACTCAGATTGGAAATGTTTGAACTTAGAAGATTTAACCTAACAATTTCCAAGATAAAATCAGAGCTGAATGCACCTAAGACGTCACTTGCCTGAGTAGCCGCAAGAATCTCCTCTCTGGAAGGTTTCTCGTTGAAAACATCACGATCGCTTTCGCCACTGAAAGAAAAAATTAGAATACCTGTTAATATATAGACCACTTTTCAGAATACATCCTCGCATGAAAAGTGTTTCCAGTTTTCTACTACATGGAAGAGACTACTCGAACACTACTAGTTAACACTAAGACTATCTTTGAGTTTCATTGTCCATGGAAGATGCTTATTCAGACAGAGTTCCCTTTATTTTTCATGTATCCAGTGTGATCAAATCTTTATTCGTGTGTATTAAAATGTTTATGCCTAAGGGCAGGTGTTTTATTAATGTTCATCTTACAGCTCTCGTATCTATTTTGACCCTGTTGTCGTAAAAGTCGATAAATACGAGCCTCAGGAATTTATAGGAGGAAACAACCACCACCAAGTGGTAAGTGCCGATTACATCGCTACTGAATACAAAGACCTTAAAGTATATGTTTGCCTAAAGAACCGGCGTAGGTGAACACTTGAAACAAAAGGCAAACACCCTTGAGTCATCGCACGGCTGCATTCCGCGTGTGGAGTTCAGCTCTTTGTTCTACCTCTGTGTTATATTCATCCCCTAAATTTGTTTTGATATTTAAACTGGGTTTCGTTTGGAAACACGTTTAGCCAACACCCTTTTATTAACCATTTCGTAGTCATTTTTTTAATTAAAAAAAAAACATTTATGTTAGCGTATCGAGTGGTATGTTGTTCGCCCCAATCAGGTCGCAGCATTAGGGTATGTATTTTGCACCAATAAGATCACATCGTTGGGGTATGCTTGCACCAATCAGAGTATTGTCCCTCATGCCAATAATGTCATGAAATACCGCAATATGTTGCGACAGAATTAACCCAACATTGACGCACATCAAGATCAACAAATTAACAAAGATGATGACCGATATGAATATGGAAGCTATCTTCGTAGTAATGAACACTCCTTGAGCAGTAGTGAAAATAAGGCCTGAAAAAAAATTCAGGCCTGTTCGGAATAATAAAAATAATAGTATATTAGCAAAGTTTGCGACTTATGATGGTTTTATGGTGAAAAAAAAAATACTTGCTTTTCTCAATTTATCAAGCCGACGGTCAAAAATGCCAACCTTATTTGCCGAATTTCACCTAAAAAAAAAACCAAATCTACTGGCAGACTCCAAAACGTGTCGGTTAAACATCGTTACAACAATACTCAGCCTTGCTTCCCTACGAACTGACACCACATAAAGGAAGCAGTTTATGGATTTTCGAATATTCCCGCTGCATCGCCGCTAAACAACCTCTTTTCATTGATGAGGAGTTTCACCTCTGATTCGGAACTGCGATTGGTTCATATCTTACTACATAAAAGTCACGTCTCGAAATTTATTCATCAGAACTGAAAGGAGCCAGTGATACACAGACGGAAGTGAAAAGAAAGCATTCATCGTGGCTACAGGCAGTGTTAACACATATGTGTACGGTTACCAAACGGCTGCTTGCTGAAAATTGTTTGTTGAACAACTACCCGATGTTAGTAAGTTGTTCCCGATCCCAGAGAACGAGATACCGCCAAATTTCGCCAAATACGAAACAATTCAAGGCACCCTTCCATAATATTACAAGCTCCGATGCTCATCAGTTGACAGCCGTGCTCGTTGACATTGTCAATGACAGAGACCAGTTTAAGGCAAACAAAATGTTTTACCAGCAACTGCACAACAGCCAGGAGAATAAACCAGATGATGAGGTATAAGAGCTTTTTAGACTAAGAGCAAGGTCTAACGAAGATCAACCCGGCAATGTTTACGTGTTCCTGCGTCCGAGAAAACTAAAGACGTTTAAAACATCAGCATTACAACAACATTACTCAGTGTTAAATGGTTAATTGGAGGCCCTCGACGCTTAGTGACAGTACCAAACCCAAGCACAACGAAGCAAGATTTTGACGTTCTTCCGATTGTAAGCGCCGTCGCAAGGATTATGAAATTGCTGAACCTTGGCAAACCAGAGACTTGCAAATTGGCGCCTTCACGGGGCCAAGAGGCGATAGAAGAAAAGCAATCGACGAAATCAACAAGACTACTTCTTACATCTTTTAAAAAGAGAGAGAGTACGGTGATCACTACTCGCCGAAAATGAGTTCAAAAAACGTTCTGCTCCGAAAACGACAAGAAACCGTGCTAGCCAAACAACTTCAAGGTCTGAGGAAGACTGAGAAATATTTATTGATCAAGTCTTCGCTCGATGCAGAATCTTCTTCATCTGAAGACCACTTGGATTCATAAGGACCCACAGGAGTAGGAAATAACGTTTTATGGATTTTTATTTAGCAAAGCAAGGACAATAACTTTTGAATTTCCACCGATCAAAGCCTTTAATCAGCAACCGTGGCAGGATCAGTTTGTAAATTATTTTTTTTCATTTAATCAAAACCGGTTGGAAGTCGTGACAAAATAAATATCTTAGATTCCATCGTGGAAGACATACAGCAAATAATATTCCTTTAACTGTTTACCGGTATTCAAATACATCAGCGAAGAAGGTAAATGAGTGCTTACTGACTTAAACGCTGACCACAATGGCAAGGGATATTCTAGATACTCACTGTAGAACCTTCTCCATCACGTAGTTTATAATTATTTAACGTTTGACTCGTGAATATAAGTACTTGTAATTCTTCAGGTTTTTAATCTATACATGAGTACTTGTGATCAGGCAAAGCCTGAATCTTCTAATCAAACCTTTGCAATTATTTTTATCAATATTTATGGCTAGAGAAGTTGTGGAATTTTGTTTTTGTTAGCTTCTCGAGACGCAAGGCGTCTAGTACGAGACAGTGTTATCAAAGTAAATTTTAGAAAAATTTCATGAAATGTTTTTTCGGATTCCGTTGTGAAGTAATTTTTCCTGATTCACTGAAGAGAATGAACAGGACAAATCGATTTATCAAGGCATCTCCACCAACTTACATGAAAACTTAGCAGTTAAGGCTTGAACAGGTTTCAAGGAAGCATATCATTACACAGCACTTTCGGTTTCACAATAAAGCGGAAAATTCCGTTTCTTAGAAGACACGTACTGTCTTGTCTCAAGGTCATTAGGATCGGTTACAAATTAACAGAAATGTAAGATGTAAGAAATGTCAGAGTTTACTGGTTAACTATCCTAGCACAGATGTATTTCATTAAAACAAGTTTCCAAGTCATTTCAGTGTAACCTAGTGAAGCAGTGCTTACGTAAAATGTCAACAATCCTCTTAGGGACCCCTCCCTAAAACAGCCTGTAGGAGAGCACAATCAGGTGGCCTGATAGGAAAATGTGCGTTACCTGTTTTGCTCTCGTGGTTTCATTTCTCCTGTCGGGTTATTATTTTCATCTTTTGATCTTTCTTTAAAAAAACGTTATAGTTGTTTAATCAGTGGAGCTTAGTAAAATCAATTGCTCAAAACTACGAGCTACCGCTTTAGTCCAAGCTATAATTCTTTCTCGTTACCTCTTCAATATCGGTTTCGACTTTTTAAATGACCAATACTCGAGATATTGTTCTACCCAGCTAAAAAACACTTCCAAATCACTTTCAGTTTCGTCAGCCAATCATTGACTGCTTTTGAAGTTCCGCATGTGTTCTCAGCCCACGTCAGTCAATCTGCTTAAGTGTATTGTTGTCCATCGAGTTAATTGCATGAACAACTGCCTCAGGGGCGCAAAACTTGAGAGAACTGAGAAGCTAGTGGAACGGATTCAACACTGACATTTCAAATATTCACATCGAAATGGAAGAATTCAACGCCGAAGCGGTTTTCAAACAACAACAAGAAGCCTGTACAAAATTCTTTCGCGACAACCTCCCCAAAGATGTGCTTGAGCCAATGTCAGAGGAAGAAAAGCCCGAGAATACGAAGAAGTTCAAAGGTCCTGTCTATGATATAACAGGGTTTGATGCTGAAAACGTTGTCGCTCTCCTCTCTAACATTGTCAACGACAAGGAGCAGTTTACGTCTAACAAGACCTTTTACTTGCTGTTACAAAACAGCCATGGCTCAAAGCCGGATGACGAGATAGAGGAGCTCTTCAGACTCAAAGCAAGGCCTAAACCAAAGACCAACCTGGCAATGGCATCGTGTTTCTACGTCCGACAGGAAAGAAGAAGTTTACTCAATACGCAAAAAAGTACGATGAGTTGAAAGGTGCCTTAGAGGCACATTACGAGGACGACACAAAAACATTCGCACAGGATATCAAGAACTTATTTCAAAACAACTCAGTGGTGACTGACGATTTTCCACAAGCAACCTTTGAAACCTACATGATTTTGCTTTTTGAAATTGCTCGACGTCTTGTTACGGTGGAAAAACCGAGTGGAAAGAAGGAAGAATTTGACGTCCTTCCGATTGGCAGCGCCATCGCAAGGTCAGTAAAATTGTTGGAGGAAGAAAAGTGCACATTTGATGATGTCTTTTTGTCAGAAGAAAAAGAAGAAAAAGAAGAAAAAGAAAAAAAAAGAAAAAAAAAGAAAAAATTTCCATTGCTACTCGAAAAGTCCCCAAAAAAGGAGGGAAGCAATCGACAATATCAACAAGACCACAGACACGGAAAGTAATCACCTCAAAGAGCTTGAAGACATGTTCCGCTCAAGTAAAAAAGAGCCTGTTGAAAAATTGGCGAATATAAATTTGGATGAGAATAAATATTCACCGATGAAGAGTTCGATCGATGCAGAAAGTTATTCAATCGAAGATTACTCGAGTGACTCTGAGTGGACCCCTAGTACTGAGAATATGTAACAATTTTCGAGATGACATTGTCGGATTTCTTTTTCCTTTTTTCTTATTATCATGGATTTAAGATAAATAATTTTCCAGGTCTCAGCACACAAATTTTCCTTAGCAGAATTGTTAACCTCGGGAAAATTTAAAACACAGCGCTTTCGGTTTCAATTCAAAGGGAAATTTCTTCACAGCTAATGGATGTATTTGCATGCCCAGACTTGCATCATCTCGAGTCTCGAGGTCATCACATGATTTCCTAGAAATTTTCCTTCCTGTTTGCTCCTGTTGGAGGAGGGGCGGGGGATGAGGAGGGTAGGGACGGGCGCAATGGTGAAAGAGCAAATTCCGATTTTATCTCGAGCAAACTTTCAGGAAAATGCTGTCAACATAATTTTTGTTACTTAACAAACGGACTACATTCCTTTGACTGTTTCTCATTAGAATACTAAAAATTAGCACAAGCGCTCAATAAATGCTTACCAACTCAAACATGGACCACAATGGTAAGCGGTATTCTAGATATTTACAGTAGATATTCTAGATATTTACTCCTCAATTAATTAACTATGTCATCATCTGTAAATGCGTGACTTTAAACTTGCGTGACATTTGTGTTACAGTTTGATTCCTTCGGATAGTCTTTCTATCCCGCTTTCACTATTCACAGTTCATGTTCGGTACTCATCCAAAGTTAATTTCTTAAGTTTGATTTCAAGCCACCGGTGTATATAGATTGACATGTAAGTTGTATTCGCTTGTTTTGTTGTTTATCTCATTTCGAGCAAGCTCTTTCGTCTTTATTTTGTATATATATTTTGTGTTTGGCGTGGCACTTGGTTCATTTATTAGTTTCTTTAGTATGTTAGATTCATTTACGTTGTTAAGTCGCCACGTGTTTAATTAAATACAAGCGATTATATAAGTCCTTTTTTTAACTCGCTTACAGTTTACGAGATTGATTAAAGCTATGTCTCTGTAACATATCCCCTGGTTTGGTTGGCATTTTCTCCGGTCGCGATTTTCTTGGCACTTCATTCAGTCTTGATGTTCGTTTGCCGCAACATAATCAGTCTATAATTTTCTGGCGTTTGAGAAATGTAATTCCCCTGGTTTTTTAACCTTGAAATGAGTATTTTTGATCGGTTAGAGCCTGAATCTTAAATTTAATCTTTGTCATTGTTAACATTTTAATACACGTACTCATTTGTCTTTGTAACTGATGGGAAAAGACTCACCTCAAATCAGGTTGCCTGCTTGAAAATATGTAAAATCTGTTTTTCTTCGATGCTGTGCAAAACAACATTGGATCAGGGCCTACAGTTTGAAGCGAAGGGTTTTCTGATGCCTCCATTTCCTGTGATAGTATAATAGAATAAAGATAAAAACGCTGCTTGTTTCCTCGAAATCATTATCGTGAGCAACTTTATAAAACTGCCGTTTAACCAAACTAAAGACCTCGAAATTTTAGCGAATTATCGAGACTGAGAAAAGTTTTAACATAGATAGCTTAGTTTACACAAGAGCCTTGAACAGTTGAATTTCCTAGACATCTTTAGGAAGTTGCTAGTAAAATTTTTCGATTTTAATTGCCCAATCAAAAACAAGTAAGAAGGTCCAAGAATACACCGAAGTTGTTGGGTAACGGACTCCGTTGCGCGTACCTAGAGGCCCTAGCTAGTGCGTGATACCTTAATAAAGAGTTTGTTACCGTTTCAATTTAAAACTATCCTTTGAGCAAAAAAACTGTCAGTCCATTGAACACCGATCCAGTGCAGAGACGTTTGACAAGACAGTGCTCAGGAACTGTTCATGTAGCACACTGAAGTTGCAATCAAGACACTGCAAAATAGTCTTGGGCATATCAGGTTCAGTGTGCGACAAAAAATCTAGAGCGTAATCTTTCGTTGATTGGGAGGGAAGTTCATGTGATAAAAGGCAGGGGAAAAACCGAAGTGATATGCAGAATGAAACAGGAATATTCACCATTGTGACTGCAGCTTTACTTTTCTTGGCCTTGCCTTGATGTAGAGCGAGTTGAACAAAACGAACATTCTCCATCTAAAAGTAGGAAGGAAAAAAAATTGACATCGCTATGCGCATAGACATCGGCACAGCCGGTTAATGCAGTATTTTCTGGCCGTGGTGCTAGCTGTCATCATAAACAAAATGCAAGTCACTCGGTATCTCCCGCCACACTTGATTTGGAAGAAGTAGAGGAATTAATACGATTGAAAATTGGAAAAACAGCTGTAGACGTCGCGACAAATGACAAGCATTTGCCGCCATGTTGTCTTCCCTCAACAGCCGCATAGAGGAGAAGACTGGTGATGACAATTCGTTAGAGTTACTGCATCTCAACCGAGAACGGCATCCTCTTAACCCTTCAACTCCCATAAGTGATCAAGACAAAATTTCTCCTTACAATATCAATACAATATCAAGCAGACAGGTGATAAGAATAAAGAAAAATATCAACCAAGTGATTGTTAAATGATCCAATACCAAATTCTCCATACTGACAACAAGAAAACTGTATTGCAGACAGTAAGGAGAATTGCTAGTGAGATCTTGGGAGGAAAAGGATTAAGAAGCAATAAAACACGACCCTCGGATTGTTAGCTGATCCAATACCAAATTCTCCATACTAGCAACATGAGAACTGTATTGCAGACAGTAAGGAGAATTTCTTATGAGATCTTGGGTATAAAAGGGTTAAGAAGCATTAAAACACGACCCTCGGCGTGCTGTCATCTCACCTTGCCTATTGTTCTTACACATCTGTTCGTGTGAAGGTTGATAACTGTTGGTAAGAAAACATTTAAATGATTATACAATGGAGCGCTTTTTGATTCAATGAATGTCGTAAAACTACGACCAAAGTCATCACAAAGACCAATCAGAGCAGAGGAAATTAACGCCAGGAGCGAATCAGAATTCAGCCCCAAAACAAGCAAAACTGCGTAAAGCGCGGGAAAACGAGCGGGAAAAACGTGCGGGAAAACGCGGGTGAGTCAGTTGCGCATGACCTGTGTTTGACCGCTGGGTTGACATTGCGTTGTGTTGTTACGTAAAACGTGTCTCTCTCCATCCTGAGGTATAAACGGCTGCAAATAGTAGCTAGAAGTAGTTTAGTAGTCAAACACAGGTTTATTCCAGTTTTTTTCTCAAAGGCTTTCCTTAATTTAGTCGGTCGGTCTCGGTCAACATGAACGTACCTTTGATTCCTAGCATTGTGGCATACAGCACGAAATATCCACTATCATCAAATACTAAATGGAAATTTAAAAAAACCAATTAATGGAATTGGAAGTTTATTACGAGAGGTATACAAGAAAATCGTAAAATTTGAAAATCCATTAACAATTAAAACCTGTTTCATTCTCCGTATTGCTCGCCGTGCAAGTGTATAGACGATCGATAAAAATTGTTTCACGAGAACCTTAGCTTATAAAAATGGTTACTAAATATCAAATGATTTCATACCTACATTACAGAAACGCAAAGTATCCGTTTTTTCTAAGTCTCTCTCTGTTGCCATGCGTCTACCAAATTCCATATCAGGAAGTTGCTGTTTTTGCTGGAGAAAATAAATGCAATGAAGACTTGATAAGTCGAACGCCCAACTGCCTCAAGTAGACTGTGATGGCAAAAACCAGAACTTCCCATGTTTTGCTGCTGTCAGTTTATTCCCTAATAAAGAGGCTCACCAGTCTTTTCCAAATTTCGTACCCGCGTACGAATCGACACAAACTGGGTGCGAATCACGAACTGACTGAGTAAGAGACGTCCGTGAGTACGAAACGACTTACAATGCCACTCGCGTGTCATGCGACTCACGTGCAATGCCACTCACGCGTAATAAGAACTACACGCGCTATATGACCGTGTTTTTCAATGCATACGGTAACTGTAAGATCATACTGGAAACTGTGATTCAAAATAAACAGTATACTAAAGAAATCCGTTTTTTCGTCACTTCACGAGCGTGGAACAAAAAAAGTCTGAGCTCCCAAAAGCAATCGAAAAGCAAACCATCATATTCCGCGCTCTTTTGTTCCAAATTCACTATTTACATTGTACGCTAACTTTACAAAATTGAATTTTGTTTAATTACCTGTTGCATCTCTGTAAAGACTTGCAGTGACTCGTCAAATACCCGTGTTTTCTTCCCAGTTAAAAATCTGAACACTCTTACCTTTAGAGACAAAATAAGACAAAATGATCCTGGTGAACAAAACGTCTTGCAATCATAAGGTTACAAGGGGCAAATTGCTTTGGGTGATACTAAGTTCAAATTTATCTTTAGTTCTACGGACTCAAACTTGAATTACAGCTGATACACAGATCCACCTTCATATTCCTCAAAGGAAGAATATAGGCTTGATTGGAGTAAAGGGGGGGAGGGTTTTTTTTTCCGGATTATGTTTAAGTCAAAATTTTGGAAGATAAATACGCTCAAGTATTATTAGCTCACTTTTATTTCATCTAGTATTTAGACAGATGCACATACCTTTCTGTCCATTGCTAGTGTGGCAAATAATTTTCCATCTGGTGAGAATGCTAAAGATATGGGAAACGTCTTGCACTGAAAAAATTAAAAAAATGTATCTTCATAAAATGGTTCCTAACACTGAACAGCTCACCTTGAAATGCAAAAAAGCCATGCATTCACCCACATGTACATTTAGAGTTCACTGAACTTGTTATAAGTTTTCTTCTCTGGCTAACCAACCAGTATGTACAGATGCTCCTCACCCTTAGCGACCAAGACAGAATTTCTCCTTACAATATCAATACAATATCAAGCAGACAAGTGATGAGAAAAAGAAAAATATCAATAAGGGGATTATGATCCAACACCAAATTCTCCAAACTAACATTACAAGAAATGTATGGCAGACAGTAAGGAGAATTACTAATGTGATCTTGGGAGTTTAAGGGTTAAAAAAATTGAGGAGAATGGAAGGGAGCAGCTAGTTTCATGCCAAATTTGAATCACATACACGGATGCCAGAAAACCATTCATCAGTATTTTAACTATTCAGCCACAAGTTATTAACTAAAAACAACTAATTTCATATGAAATTCTGAGCTGCATCAAAGGTGTTTTAGCCTACTACCAGTTTGTCCTCTCTTCCACTCCTTCACTCACCATAATAAATTCAAAGAGGTCCGTATCTGTCTTAAATTCAAAGTTGACATTTTTGGGGAACTGTACATCATGTTTGATACCAGACCAGTACTCAATCATGCCTGCCTCATCTGCTGACACAGCCACATCATAAACAGCATTGTACTGTTGAAAGAAAAAAAATATATTAAATTCCATCATTAACAAGATCCTTTTTGGAAGACAAGATGGTTGACTAAAAACATTATCCCTTTAACCCCTGAGGGTGATTGGCATCTAATTTCTCCTTACAATTTTGCCCTTGAATTACAAATTAAGGTCATGAGAATAAACTAAATGATCAGCAACTAAAGAAGCTCTTGATTATTAATCAAATTCTCCTTAGAAGAACCTAGGAAATGTATACAGAATAGTATGGAGAATATGCATACTGATGTTTGGGTACAAAAGGTTAAAATACCTTGATAAATGTGATTGGTTTTGTATGAAGATTTACTGTGTGAAGGGGTGTGCTGCTCCCTCTTCCATCATAAACATGGATCATTCCAGTCTCTTTCTCTGAGCTAAGAGGAAAATAATTCAGTAGATTTGAGACACGAAGCTAAGAATCTAAATACTTTAGGTAACTTATGAGAACTATACCAGGAAACACACTGTTCCTTTAGTTAGCATGCTGGGTGCGGATCAAAATGTCCATGTTTAAGCCTTGCCTGGGTTATCAGATGCATTCTTGAGCAAGAAATTTTAGTCTCACAGTGCCTCTATACATTTAGGAAAGAATAATATGAAACTATCAAGGGAATTTTCACATCTGCTTGGGCTACTTACAGTAAATTACCAGTTTGTATCCAAAGGAGAGGGGGAACAGTGGCATTACCCTAATTCACTTGGATCAATGTTGGTACCTGAGCAACTACCCACCCACCCCTTCCCTGACCAAACAACAGTCAACTGATAACAAGTTAGGATTGTTGAAGGTTAAGGTTAAGGTTAAGCATGCATAACAGAACAATTTTAGGATTCCATCCTCTCAAGACAGCAAGAATTACGCTGTACTTGGATGTAGGCCTTGTTGTGTGCCATCTTCCTCAGCCTTTGGCTTCAGCTGATAACACAAACATCAGCCTTGATAATCCTTGCTTTAATATTCAACCTTATTAAATAATTGTCAGTTATCATGACAGCTAATTCCGCACCATGCAACAGCAGCCACTGCAGCTCCAGGCGGGAAAATCCATTCACATCGCCCAGGTTCATAATTCAGTCTTAACATGTTGATCATATCTGAGAAAGATAAAAAAAGAATCTTCAGTTTACCATTTCATTCCAAAGATCTGATAAATAATTCTCCTTACTGTCTGCCATACAATTCTTATCATGTTGGTTTGTAGAAGTTGGTATTGGATCAACTAATAATCCTTGAATTGAAATTTTTCTTTATTCTCATCACTTGATATTGTCTTTAGTTGAGACTTTAAGGAGAAATTCTGTCTTGGTCACTTATGGGAGCTTAAGGGTTAACCCTCCAACTCCCAAGATCTCATTAGTAATTCTCCTTACTATCTGCTCCGTAGTTCTTGCTATGTTGGTTCGGAGAATTTGGTATAATCCCCTAATTAATATTTTTCTATATTCTCATCACTTGTCTGCTTGATATTGTATTGTTATTGTAAGGAGAAATTTGGCCTTGGTCACTCATGGGAGTTAAAGAAACATAAGACTGAAGGAGAGGAAAGAAACAGAAAGGTTTTCAAACTATTTTCAAGTATAAAGTCTAAAGTTATCCATTGTACATCTGCCACAAATGGAAACAGAACAAGCAAGCAAACAACCAAAGATTTAAAGATATACTTCAGCTTTAACCATATTCCATATCATGAAGGTTCATTGGTTTCTAGGGTATTATAAAAATGAAAACAGTTCTAAAATTTCCTCTCTGAAGCACTGTGGTTCACATCACCCAGAAGTGATTAACATGTACCTTCTTTCTATGATATCTCTTAATAATCCCACAAACAGGTTAATTGAGAATGCTCGAACTAATCAGGTAAAAGTTGTTTTCTTGATTTAACACCACATTCTTATAACAATATCACAAGGAAATGTACAGCAGCTAGAGGGGAGAATCAACAATCAGATCTGGGAGTTAACCCTTTACACCCCAACATCAGTATGCATATTCTCCATACTGTTCTCTATACATTCCCTAGGGTGCTGACAAGGAGAATCTGTGTAACAATCAACAACTTCTTTAGCTGCTGATAATTTTCTTTACTCTCATAACCATACTGCATGATTCAGGGGTGAAATTGTAAGGAGAAATTAGATATTAGTCTCTTTCAGGGGTTAAAGGGTTAAAGGTTAAATAAGCCTTTAAGATAGTTGCCTGCTAGCTTTCAGTTGTAAAATTCTGGCCACCAACAGTCGATTTTTTTGGTCACAACCTTTAGATCCAAATAAAAACAGTTAGTGTATATAGCTTCTTTATGAATGATGATGTAAAGAATGTATTTTCCAAGCTCACCAAAGTTGACGACATCAAACACTTTCAGTGATTTATCCTCAGCTGTGGAACACATGATCTGTCCATCAGCACTTGCCGCAATACAATGAATCATTCCTGTATTGAAACGCAAAAGTGTATCAGCGTCTGAGTGTTAGTTTTATGGGTTTGTGACTTCTTGAGATTCAGTGGTTCCCATTTCATTGAGGTTAATCCTTAAACTCCCAAGATCAGACTGTTGATTCTCTCCTAAAGCTGTTACCCATTTCCTTGCAAATAAGTTACAAGAATTTGGTGTTAGATCAAGATTAAAACCTCTACCTGATAAGTTTGAGTATTCTCACTACCTGTTTCCTCAATACTGTATGGATATTATAGGGAGAAGTTACATATAAATCACTCTGGGGGGTTAAAGGGTTAAGTGTCCTGCCCACTAACACAGGAGGCTGGCAAACACAATTTTCATATTTTACTCCCAGAAATGATAAACATGTAACTTCTCCCAATAACTCTCTACTATCTCCAGCAAACAGGTAACGACAATACTTTAATTTATCAGGTTAAAGTTGCTATCTTGATCTTATGTCACCAAATCATTGTAACCAGTTTATAGGGAAATGTGTAGCAGCTAGATGGGAAAATCAACAATCAGATCTTGGGAGGTAGAGGATTAACAACTGGGCCATAGCATATACTGTACATGTAATACTAATGATCATGACCAACGCAACTGTTCACACAGTATCCCTAAAATCTTAATCACAAATTATTTAATACAAGTAGATCTTAGAAGATCCTGACAGTAAGCATCCATAGAGCAAAGAAAGTTCATCTGTACTGTATAGCTAAGTTGCTTATCAGAAAGTAAGGATACAAAGTTTGGGTGGAATTTAAGGATTCTGTTAGGAGGTCATCACAAGCTGTTCTCTTAAAAGTTTTCAAATTAAAAATTATAGTGCTATAATCATCTAGTTAGAAACCACACTACCTTTTACACAGCTTCAATTTGGTTTTCAGCACAAAAAAAGTATAGTTGATTAGATTAAGTATATAAAGTATCTCATCTTTTCTCACCCATATGTGCTTTGAAGTGCTTCACAAATTCAACTCCATCATCTTGTCTTTTCCAAAACTTGACGTGTCCATCACAACTTGCCGTTATGAGAAAATCCGTTCTGTGAAATGATGTCAAACATGATTAACCCTCTGACCCATTAGAGTGACTGGCATCTAATTTCTCCTTACAATATTGCCCCTAGGTTCACGGTCATTTTGATACAAAGTTGTCTTGATACAAAGTCGTTTCGATACAAAGTCGTTTCGATACAAGTTGAAGTCGATTCAGCCTAGTAGCTTCATAAAATGGCTCTTTTAGGAGCTGCTGTGTCCTGCTTTCGTTGCTTTGGACTATTTCAGGTTGCTAAAAACAGCTCTTTTAGGAGCCACCACATTTGCGAAACTGGGTATTGCAACTATGTTGAACGATTGAGTTGCTTAATTAATCAAGTTGAATTTCAGCTAATTTGTTGATTAGAAAACAACAAATCACCACACATATCAAAGATGAAAACTAACACACTTATACTGAACTTTTCTCGAGTTTACTTCTGTATCGAAACGTCAATTCAATACAAACTGAAATCTTCAGTTTGCATCAAATCAACTTTACATGTGTAATGAATCAACTTCCACTTGTATCAAAACGACTTTGTATCGAAATGACTTTGTATCAAAATGACCAGACACCCGTCCCTGAACCACACATTAAGTCCACCAGGATTTAAAAAATGATCACCAGCTAGAAGAATCTCTTGATTGTTAAACAAATTCCCTTTAAGTACCTTATGAGATGTATCAAGAATAGTAAGGAGAATATGTAAACTGATGTTGGGGTGTGAAGGGTCAAAATATTTTTTTTTCTAGATTGTAACCTCAATTCCAGGATAATTAAAAGCACTTACATAGTGACAAGTATATGTGAGACGACATCACGATGCATAAAGCTCCTCTCATAGGATTCAGCAGAAGGTAAGTTACACAGGTAAACTTCCTCAAACTCTAGGACTACAAAAGACAAAAAATAATTTTACAAGTGGTCATGAAGCATACACCTGACAAAGTTAGATTGTCAGAGTGAAATTCAAGATCAATTTGATAGTCCCTAAGGTAATCTATAGTTTTCTCTTTGCTTCCTTTATGTTTAATGAAGTATGTAAGAGATCTTGAATAAATAAGGCTATGGGTCTACGTTCGCAATTATAGCATCTGCGTTTCTATAGCATATTCACGCATACAAATTATTCATCTAAAAGAGCGCGAATATCCCATCGGATCATACATTACATGTACCTCTCCTTTTCTTAGCTTTAGGAGGAGGTGCCGGCATTGGACCAATCACATCTTCTTCTTCGTCTTCTCCTTCGTCGGCGCTGTCCTCTGAAGAGTCCTTAGCACGTTTTCGCGTCTCTTCGTCCGCCATTTTGGAAATGAATGAGAAATTTGATGGTCAGAGGCACATTTAACCAAAGTATGCGCGAGACGCAAAACAAGGCTCCCTGGGGATTTATCCGGTTGTTCTATTTTTATCCACACTCCACGTTAGTGGTAAGGATGCGAACTTCTGAGTGCCTTCTCTCGGCTCTTTGAACTCGGCTTGGATTTCTGTCTGCCAAACAATTTATTCCATTTACCATGAGCCGTTTATTGTAAACTCCGCGAGCGGCATAAATGCGGGGAAAAGAGAAACTGAAGTTTTTACAGACAGAGTCCACGAGAACCACATGAAATGTATGTGAACAGTTTCAGTCGTGTTATGCTGAAGATAAATTTTGCTGCATCGTGGTCTGTAAACACGGACGATTGAATGGTTTTGAGGGAAGATGGATGCGTTAGAGAGTTCATCGACGGTATATCGCACTGAGAGCGAAGGCAGCACGACAAGCGAAGACAGAGAAGGTTCTCTACGAGCCTACTTAGAGAAGGAGTCACTAGGGCATTTAACCGCGCTGTTTCCAGACGATGTTTCGCTCAACTATTTTCAATCATTAACAGAGGACGACTTGGAGCATGATTACAACGTGAAAGATGACAAAGAAAGAGAGCTTTTAATGCATTCCATAGTGAAATTGCGAGAGGAATTTTCAGCGTACGAGGTGAGACTTCAATGACACAGACACAAATTTTGTTCTATACAAATTTGTCCTATCTCTAATTATTTGCGCGTTACTTTTGGCCAAATTTCCCGGAGTCAAGCAATTTTTGAAGTTGTAATTTTATTTTTAAAACCTCCAACTGCGTTCCCAACATATATATTTTTTCAAAAGTTATTGTGTTGTTTTCGTCGCGAAGACATTCGCATGTTATTCAGGGCCGCTGGCATCAAAGGAAACAGTGAAAAATATAAATTACCACGAGGCACCTTTCGACTATTACACGCATCTTTTTTAACATCCAGACGTACACTTGGAGATATTTAAATTCCCCATCGATATAAAGTCTACTGTTTTTCACTGCGAGCACTTATTTTAAAATTAGTTTCGTGTGATTTTGCTTTATTTATCAATGTCGTAAGTTTGGGCCTATTTCCAAATGTCATCTTGTCCATTTGACGTGTTTCCTGAAACTAATATTATAAATATGCCACAGATTTATTTGACCGAAAGAACAGTCCTGCTCTCCTCTTGATATCTTTATAAATCTGACGAGACACTTTTGTTGATCTGTCCGAATTCCAGTCGGACTTTTTTTCTGTATCAGTAATTTCCTGAGTCAAACGAGGGAGTGATTTCCGATGTGTACGCATTTGCTGTACATCACACCTTTGTTTTCGCTCTGTTTATGACTACCTTCTTGTGAGGTGGCTATTTTTTTCTTTCCGGATTTTTCAGAATGGAGTGTGGCACGGGCGATCGTAAAGTATCATTCCCTACTTTTTCCCTAGTTACAAGAAACTGCGAGTAATATTTGTCGTTTTACAAACAACCATCGATAGAGGCTTCATGGTACATTGATCTCTGTTGCGTGTGAAAATTATTATGCAAGGGTACTGTTTGACGGAAAAGTATATTGGTGGATTACTGAGTCTCACTCAATTTGCCTAGCGAAATGGTGTGTAAATCACTAAATGTAAAAAGTTCTTTATTATGCAAATATCGATTACGTTTATTGCATATATGATTCTCAGCAGGAATATACTTTAAGTCGTGAGATGAAACAGTATTTCACTGTTCTCTTGATCTGTAATCTAATCATTTGAATTTTCATTACCTGGGTGGTTAAAACTTTTTTTAATTGGAAGCAAAAATTTTCCCCGCGCGAACATGATCTTCGTTCATTTGTTTTTATAACCCTAAAATTCGCGTTGTGTAAATATGGCGCGAAGCATTGTTTACAAAATATATCTTCTGTTGATTTAGCAAAGTATTCGCAGAAAATTGTCTGTTAGCTTTCCTTGGCGTCCCTGCTTTAGTGGACTTTGGCTAAACTAAAATTGAGTTCAACCAAAAGCCCTTTTTCATTCAAAAAAGACCATTAAATATATTTGACAAAAAAATGATTACATAACTTGTACTGTAAGTTTTTTTCCGACATTTACATTTCAACGGAGGAATCAGCCACTAGATAAAGACTTAATCATAAATTCCTAGTCGATCTTTCATAGAGATCGCTTCTTCTTTCGAGGAACGTTTATGATTTATTAGGAATTTGAAACGAAGTGGTCTTCAAATTGATTGAGAAATATAGTAATTGCGGATTTCTTTAGAAACCTTTGGTAATCTGCAATTAGTACATCATTTGCATTTGTATATTCTGATGTCTTTTTTCATTCCATTAGTCAGAATCTATTAAAAGCACTGCAGCTTTAGAACAAATGTCTTTGCCACCCAACGAACTCCTTTTCTCATTTCTGTATCATTTTTGCTCTGTTCTGATGAAGTACAGTTTTTGCATGTTAATTTTTAAGCCTTGTGCAAAGCTAAGTACACAACAATTTAAATTTAATGCCAATGGAGAGATTAAACCTTTAATCCCTAAGAGTGATTAGCTTCTAATTTCTCTCTTCAGTATCACTGTTGATCCAAACGTTAAAGACCAGAGAAGTCCCTGATTTTTGAACAAGTTCTCCTTGTTATTATGAGATAGAGTATATGTATATGTAGAATATGTAGAGAACAGAACGGAGAATGAGCATACTGATGTTATGGTGTAAAGGGCTAAAGAACAATCCCTCTCAACCAAACTTGCCAGGACTGGCTATTTCTGAGAAACCACAAATATTTCAGAAAAGACTGCTCAAAACAAAAATAGACTGAGTACAAATGTTTTCTTCAAATGTTGAGTGACTATAATTTAATGGCTTTTAAGGGTTATTCCTAAAAGGCTAGTGCTCTTTTGCTGCTTAAAAATCCAGGTTTTATGAGCTTCAAGTGTTAAAGAACAATTCCTTTCAACAAAACTTGCCAGGGCTGGTTATTTCTGAGAAACCACAAATCTTTCAGAAAAGACTGCTCAAAGCAAAAATAGACTGAGTACGAATGTGTTCTTCAAATTGGAATATCTTTGGTAAGGCAGTTGTGTTCATGATTTTATCCTTGAAATGTTGATTGACTATAATTTAATGGCTCCTTAGGGGTTATTCCTAAAAGGGTAGAACTCTTTTGCTGCCTAAAAATCCAGGTTTTATGTTCTTCAAGTGGATCAATTTGGGCAGAGTGTTTTGTTTGTAACCAAGGAATTTGTAGAAATGATATTGAATTTTGGGCTCCTTTCATGAATCTGCAAGATATCAAGATATAGTTTTAATTAAAACGCAATGAATATTTAAGTACACATATTTAGATAAGAATTTGTGACTGTGAAAGGCAAAACAGACACTAACAGTTATCCGTTCGAAGGGGTAAACCGTTTGTTATCCGTTCTTCATCTGTTCGCCATCCGTTCGCACGCCTAAAAAAATCAGTTCAAAGTGTTTGACAAACTGTTTGAATGGCTTGCATATCCGTTCGAAATACATTAGCATTTTTTTGTTGCATGTTGATTAGAAAGGCTGGAAAACTTGTTTATTTTTTTCATTTTTTGACTTTTTTGAATAGCAAGCTACCATGCTGTACTCCATACAGATCATTTTTTTATCAAAAAATTTTCTGAGCCATGGAAGAGAAATTTGGATTTACTTTTAGTGTAGCACCTGCTTGGTTATTGTACAATTCTGATTAAATTTTATTTTTTGTACCGAGCAATTACCTGGTATGTTGGACACTCATTTACACATATAAACTACTAAGCTAGAGGTTTTGATTGATAAATTTTTCACTGGCAAATTACTTTTTGATTATTAAGTGTCTAAGTAGGCAACACTATTTATGTAAATTATATATTTTTTTACAGTCTGACTCGGAGCTTGATAACAGCGCAGAGTTGAATGCAGAAGTTTTTTCATCACTGCCAAGAAATTTCAGGCTTAATCGATCAAGACTCTCAGATGACTTTGCAGAAACAAGATCCAAGAGGAGAGAGAGTTTTGGTTTTCCATCTGCACGGCTTGACGAGACATCGAACTTGATCCGCATGAGGGCTAATCCTTCATTAGGGAGTTCAGAACCCAACCTCTCAGGCAGTTGTGTAAGTTGAAGTCAACTGAAATACATCTTTTGTAACCTAATTTTTCCTTCTTCCTTTTTTTTATTAAATAACAACACAAAAGGATTTGGGAAAGGGTTTTTTATGTGGTGGGAATAATTTTTTTGGCATTTGTTTGTATTCTGATTGTGGGGTTTTTTTTTTTTTTTTTTCAGTGATAAAGCATAAGTATATGAATATTTTTTATTTTAATTTATTATTTTTAGGTTTTTGTTCTTTTGTTTTTTGTAAATAGTGAGCTTGACTTCATTAAATAGAAAAGTTGTTTCCACTTGTATGAACATCATGTAGGTATACTCATTTGCCTACAGATGGTTTTTTCATTCAGACTTTTCTCAGTCAGATATCGCTAAGGGTTTAGGGTTTTGGCTACTTTACAATTGCCGACAAGCTTTCAATCACTTGATATTAGAATATGCCAGAAAATTCTGTTGTAATTGCAGTCAAGTGTTGTTACTACATACAAGGTGCAGCTGTTGATGAAGACATTTGATATCAACTTTGATTGTGATCCTGGTTTTCCATAAATCTCGGGTTATAGTAGCCTTTTACTCTTAAGATTAAGTTGTATTAGTTCTCCTTTTTCACCAACCATATATTTTCTTCAAAATTATATCAAGAATGTGCAAAATGGCATCAGAAATATAAGAACTCTCTAGCTTTTAGTAGCAGAACTCTCTGGCTTAATTTTAATGGCCTGGACAACTTTACCCCCTTGAAGATGAGAAACGTCAAATTGACCTTAAGGATCAAGAGTTTTCTGACCTTATTCCAATCACGTCTTGTTTGGCATCGCGCAAACAAAAGACATTTTTTCTTTCTTGTCAATAAATAATTTTGTCTCATATTTTTCATGCTGTTTGCTCCTGACATAAATATTGATTCTCCATACTGTCTGTCATCCATTTCTGTAATTCAAGCTCTGAGAAGTTGATTTTAAATTGTAAAACATTCACTTCTTGATAATTTTATTTCCTCTCGTTACTGTTCTGCTTGAAAGTGTATTGATAGTGTAAGGAGAAATTTCCTTTTGATCAACCAAAGGAAGGATCGAGCTAACTCCTGTGGTGAGAAATGTCATCCAATAATCTCTTGTTTATTTTGTACATTTTCAGAGTGACATAAGCCGGAGACCAAGGTATGACTTCCATGTAGATATTAATTCAATTCATTTGTAGTCAGATAGCAGCAAACAAGAAATGAATTTTAAAAAGACAAGACATATGCATACACATGGATTTCTTTTATTTTCTAGGTTTGTTCAAATCTTACAGTAAGGTTTTTGGACAGATTGTGTAGTTTTATCAACATCCTGTTGTGTGCAGATAATTTTAAAGAGTGCCTTATATTACGCTGATGTATATTTACATGTGACGTAAGAAATCACGTGATTTTCCGATGATCTCAAGCTCACCAGACGTTATTTTACAAGCATTGTTCAAATTATGTAGTTTTTTTTTCCAGGAGCAAGGGGAAATAGTTTTCTTCTTCTTTGCGTCAATGTGCTGTAAAATTTATGTGCAAAAGCAACATGTCTGTGTTAGATTTCATGTCAAGTAGGCTTAATGTGTATTGGATCCATTTAGCTATCATTTCCTCTCAAATGTATTTCTCATTTACATTTACCAGGTGACTCATATAGACGAATAGTAGGAATTATGTAGGCACTCTCCTGGGACACATTTCTTTTTATTGGGCAATCATGCTCGTTAGATGAGTTAATTCTATGCTGCTTTTCTTGGTCATTTTTTTTTAAAGTGCAATTTACATACATGTTAATAAATTTTAAAAGCTACAGTATTTATATGTACATGTCTGTCTGTCTTTTTTGCCCGAAGCACTTTTGAAAATTAAGTTTTTTAGTGGCCAAATCTACATTGGTCTGAAGAGGGCTTTGTTATTGTGTAAAACCTTTCTGACCAGTGGTTATTGTCAAAGTGTTTTAATTGATCTTTTATCAAGTATCAGGTTGGTGTCATATGTTAATTTTGATCAAAGTGAAACTGAATTGTGATGTTAGCAAATTGCTGAATGGAATATCTATTGTCCAGAGAGATTCTTTGTATTTCATTTCTTTGGGGTTTTGTATATTCTTTTAGCTTGATGAAGCAGCTTTTTTAAAGAATCATTGTCTTCATAAATTTCTTTGTAATTGCATTCTATATTCTGTCAAAATTTTGAAACTGAAAAACGTATCTAGCAATATGATGGAAAACTGCATGGCTATCTCTGGAAGGTCAGTGGTTTAATTTCTTAGATCTGTTTTTCCTAAGTATATTGTGACATAATGAACAGTATATGATAAGCTTTGTAAGGATGGAAAAGCAGATGTTTGTAAAGGCTGGTGAATATTGTTTTCAATCTTTAGCCAGCACATTTGGATCACATTTCATTTTATTACATTGAAAACTGAACATGTAACATATAACATTATTGAACTTGTACAGTGCTATGTATTGCATTTTTGTAAATAGAAAATTATTACTAACAGAATAATCACATGTTTCATTGTTCATGTAATATGCTGAATTGGAAAATTGATAACACTTCAGGATGTGAAAGGCACATTTTTCACTTTCTAATTTTGAATGAAAATGAGACAGTATTCTTTAAAGACACCTCATGTAACAAACATTGTGCCACATAACTTTCTGATTGAACAAATGTATCCATTAAATGGACATGAGCAAGAGAAGCCTGAAATTATATACAATTTATAAGTATGTTAAGGTTTAAAATTTCCTCTGTGAATTTTTTTTTTTAACCAGCTTTATTATTGATATTTGCATTCATTTTAATGTCACACAAATTTTTTTCCTTGCCAACCAAAAAGACAAGAAAAATGTTAACTTTGAGACATATTAAATTTTTTTCAAATCCATTGTTCTAAACAAAGGCTCAGCTGTCTTTCAATGTATGGGCCTTTATATTCAAAATAGTTCTCAATCTGTAAATGTGTGTTGCTTGGTAATTGCTTGATAATTTAAGGTGATTCTTTGTTTCATACAAAGGTTAAAATTGATGAGGTATTGTACTGTGGTGAATTTTACACAATTGAATAATTTGTATTGTAGGGGCAATTATCTTGTAATAATTTATCTCCAATCTATTCTGCTATTTTCCTGATGGTCAAAAACATCATTACAATTTCCCTGCACTCAGATTTTTTTTCTCCTTTCAAATAATTTTTTTTGCCTCGTTTAACTGCTTCAACAAGGAATTTTCTCTTCTGAATTTTGAACCTTAAGTTTGCTTAGCATTGCAGTGGCAATTGCAATTATTATGGGTTTCTTTTTGATTAGATAACAATAAAAATTTTTACATACCAGACTTGACGTCTATACTCCAATTCTTCTTTTGAATTTCTTTGTGTACAATTTTTCTCAAGATAACATGTGAATATGCTCATTGCACAATTTTCTTGATATCATACTGGGTCTTAAACACTTATTTTTTTCATAAATATGTTGAATAGGTTGTTATTAATTCCAAATCAAAGTTAAGTGATCATGGTGTCTGATTGTTACCTTTCAAAGTAATTTCATCGGTGGTTGATTATGTTATCACAACTTGAGGCTTTGTTCAATATTATCTGGTAAATTTTGAAGGATTAGTTGAATTTTAATTAAATTTAGAGGCAAAATAACATATTTAGATTTTTCTATTAAACAACAAAATTGTTATTTATCAAAAGACAAGTTATTGTGGCAGAAATGTGTAGCAGGAAGATAGAAGTATTTGTGATTTGAAATTTCTGCTTTCTGAAGAAAAAGAAAATGATCCGGACAGATAAATAAAGTGTGGTTTATTGTTATTATTTGAGGCCTTAAATGGATTAGGCATTGTTTCAAATGCCTGGAAGTCTAGATACATGTAATATTAACCAGAAAACTGCTATTTCTGGAAGTCAGCAATGTTTTCAGTCCTAGAATTGCATATTTAGGCCAACTATTTACATTATCACATTTGATTAGAAGATTTTATTAGTGAAGTGATTCCATAGAAATGTGTCATATCTGTGCAAGTTTTTGTTGTGCTCTGGCTGATAACTGTATGAAATAATTGTGTCTTTTGAGACAAGTTATTTAATCAATATGTGTCCTGACAAATTGCAAATACCTTTGTGAGTACGGTGCACATTGACTTCTGCTGTAAATACACATATATATGGTTGCAATTAGGAAAGCTACATTTTTATTGATATTCATTCGTTTGGTAGATGAATAAATAATATGTTATGTGGAGTTTAAATTTAAACATCTTCATGAGGCAAAACTGTTAAGTTGCATTACATTGTTTGGAAACCAGTCAGAGAATTCCCTGGTATGTTAACATCAGTGTTTTGTTTTGTTTTTTTTGTAGCTCCTTCAATGCTGGATCTCGCAAAGCTGGTAGAAGTTACACCACAGCAAGCTCCATGCCATCCACAAACTCTGGCAGACCATACTCGCCATTTTCATCATCATTTACTCATGGTAAGTGCCGACATCATGCCATTGTTTGGGGACTAACCTAAAATGAACTAAAATGTCATTCAAGAGGAGTATCAGTACTCATAGTCTCTTTGGACAAACTTAACCCTTTAAGTCCCACTTGTGACTTAGACAGAATTTCTCCTTACATTATAAGTATGATATCATGCAGACAGGTAATGAGAATAAAGAAAAATATCAATTAGGGGATTATTGGTTGATCCAATTCCATATTCTCCAAACTATCATCACATAAATTGTATGGCAGACTGTAGAGAGAATTACTCATGAAATCTTGGGAGTTAAAGGGTTAAAGTTGTCTGCAGACTTCACCTTTTCCTGCAGTGTACCATCCAATCCAAGCACATGATAACTTAGAAGTGGTGATTTTGATACACTGGATATTTTTGCTTTGTTTTTTTTGTAGGTTCTGACAGCCCTGTTGGCAGTCCTAGCTTTCATACGTCTTCCAGCAATACCTCCTCAGGAGCACATTTTGCATTTTCAAATATCAGAAAGTAAGCAACATGTTTTTGTGGATCATTGGAAAGATTTCAAATCATCAAATTGTTGAAGAGGCTCAAATTTTTGTCTAGTTGAGGAGGTGCTTTCTGACACGACATCCAATCCTCCCAGTGTTTCACAAGGAAATGCAAGAAAATTTGAATAGAGAATTTAGTAGTTTATCAGATGTCAGTTGGAGTGTTTCCCATTCTCCCCTCAATTATTAGGCCAACTTGGCTGAGAAAGACTAAGAGAAATCTTTAGCAACATGGAAGCATGTTTACTGGGCAGCCAGAGAAAGTGCCTTGGCTGCTAGTAAAAAAATAGCGGTCTGTGACTTTTTACATGCATATGATGTACGTACATATAATTTATTAATGTGAGTTCATACTTAGCTAAGTAGCTATTTTACAAGTAAACTCACAAATCATACAAGTAGGTAAATAATTAACTACATGTATAAATGAAACAATTACAATTGATTTTGTTTGATATTTTTTTTCTTTACTGTGCTGTTACTTCAACAGAGACATGGCTGGAAGGCGCTGGTCTGTTGCGTCATTGACATCATCATCAGGATATGGAACACACACTCCTTGTTCGTCATCGTACTCTGTAAGTATTACAATTCAGTAATTGCTTACTACGGTGACAAAGCCATCGCAATTTCCAGCAGCCTCAAATTTCACTCACAGTCTATTACTGGGAATTCTTATGTTAATAGAGAAACATACTCTAGAAACCATTTAGAAGTAAATTAATTGTTTTACATGATTTGAGATTTCATTGTGTAACCTGTTATCTGTTAGTGCAATTGAAGAATAATGTTAGCCACACAAATTATAAATAACCTATTGTAGACATGTATTGTTCATGTAAACATGTGGGACGTGCATGTAGTTTTTGCTGATTTTTGCATTAAACATTTTTACTTTGTTTTATAGTCACTGGCTTCGTCACAAGAAAAACTTCATCAGGTGGGTACTACTGCTAAATTCCATTTTATTAATTTTATTTCCATTTCAGCATTTTATTGTATTAAGCCTTTAACTCCCAGAAGTAGTTAACACGTTCCTTCTCCCTGTAAATTCCATACCATATACAGCAAAGGACAATGAAAATACTCAAACTTATCAGGTACAGGAATGTTATCTTGATTTGACACCAAATTCTCATTACTAAGTTACAGAGAAATGGGTAGCAGCTAGATATGAGAATTAGCAATCATATCTTGTGAGTTAAATGGTTAACATGAATTTCTATATTGTCACAGTTGCAGATAGGATTGCCGTATAGTGATGAGTACAACTATGGAGCACACTTTAGGTAACTTAGGAGTGATAAGCTTCTAATTTCTCCTTACAGAATCACTGCTGAATCAAAAAATAAGGTCATGAGAAAGAAAGGAAATGATCTCCAACATATAAAGCTCGTGAATGTCAGACAAATTCTCCTCGTCAGTGCCATATGAGATGTATAGAGAACAGTTTGGAGAATGTGCATACTGATGTCAGGATCTAAAGACTATGTTTTTTCAGCACGATTTTGAACTCTTGATATTTCTAAATAAAACAAAATTTATACAATCTATATATTTAAAAGAAAAAAACTATGGTGTCATTATTATCTGAGGCCAATGATCTTGGAACGGGCTTCCGTAGAAGATCTAGCGAAGACTCGAACACTTTCGTGGAAATTGACAAATTTTAATTTTTTTTTTCTGAAGTGCTGACAGCGACCAGGAAGAAGATACTGGAGGTCGCAGATCACCCAAACCACGACAAAGGTCACGAAGTCTGAGGTGGGTAACCTGTGTTCTTTTTTATTTAGATGAAAATGAATGTCCCTTGAAATTTGAAAGATCTAGGGTCGTGTTGGGACTCAAGACGTTTGAGATCTTTCGATAACCTTTTTGGAGAATTAAATCGTTTATCGGAGGAAAGCTCCTTGCGCGTGTCGAAATCCGATTCTCGATTTGCAATCCTTGCTACTTTTGAGAATCGAGGATTGAGTTGAGAGGGAATGTAAGGAGAAGTTACAATTTAATCACTACAGATATGTGTTGTGTTTTGCAGTCCTGGAAGATCTCCCCTCATCCATGAAGATGAACTGCAGCTGTTGAATAATCTGTACAGAGAGCGATTTCCTAAGGTGAGGTTATTGTTACAAGTTAGCTAATGGCTTTGTAATATTGATTAAAGTTATATCATTTGTCATTGTTTTATCACTTCCGTTGTGGATTGCAACGCCTCGACTGCACACTGCAACATGTAGTCTTCTCCGTGCGATGATGTCGACTTGATATGCGTCACCTCGTGTAGTAACAAGCTGATTGGCTGGATTTCAATAGCTATGATTGGTGCATCACGGGGATGTGTTCCCGCGGAGGTTGTCCATCAAATGGCTTTCCTGTTGTTGTTTTTGAAAAGACCACATCATGAGACAAACTTAAATACTTTTGTATTCACCACGATGAATGAACACAAACCCTTTTTCATGATGCCTTGTTGTTGTGTAACCCACCGTCAGCTGATGTTTCAATTGAGTTATATTTACTCCTCTTTGTACAATTTTACAGGCCATAACACAAATGGAAGAGAATCTTAGTGTAAGTGCAGTCATTTTATGGCCCATTTATTTTGTTTTGTTTGTTTTTTTTCCGAGGTTTGGAGCGCCGCTCCCTTTGTGATGGTTTGTTTGATTGTTGTTGTTGTTTTTTTCTAGGAGCTGATAGAAGAATACGCAGAAGAGGGAACACTGAACCATCATAGCTGCGACGCAGTTTTAAACTTCGTCTGGAATCAGGTATAATTTTGCTGCCGTTTTATTCCATGTATTTCGAAGGTGTAGGATACACGGGCAGCGATGTGGACTCCGACTCCGAAATCAAAGGCTCATTTTCAGGCTCTGGTCGTGTCATTGTGTTGTGTTCTTGAGCAAAACACTTAACTATCAGTGTCTCTCTCCACCCAGGGTATAAATGGGCGCCAGTAAAATGTTGGGGTCGGGAGGGGTGGGTACGAGTTATTTATACAGTCCCTTGCGAGCGGGAATTCACGCGATAGAGTGAAGTCCCACCATGTGTCTGCTCCCTCGCGCGGTTCTCTCATGGTTTTTTCGCGGTGCTCGGTTTAATCTAATGGATCTCAAACTTCGTTTCAGGTTCTTGAAGCAGCTCGCGATCTTCTCAAACAGTCCCAGGATAGTGCTCTCACAAGTTTGTACTTTTATGACCTGTCTGATAAGCTAGAGCGGCTGCTTATCGAGGTAGGCCATCGTTTCAGATATGTTTGAACATTATCTCATCATTCGCATTTTCGTTATCGACATTGACATCGACATCATCATCTGTGTTATTCTCGTTGTTGTTGCAGTCTTTGTTTGTGTAAGACTTCATGTGTTCATATAACTTAACGTCCATGTTTTCTTTCAGGCCCATCAAAAGACAAACTTGGATATTTCCCCAGTGAAGAGACTTGTGAGGAAGTTGCTTATGATCATGTCAAGACCAGCTCGGCTATTGGAATGTCTGGTAAATTAATTTAATTTTCTTTTGTAAATAAGCCACTAAACAAACGATGCAGAGAAAGAAATGGTAACGGAAGGAAATAATTTCTGACAGATTAGCAGATTGACAGAAATAATGGTAGTTAGACAGTCAGTCAAACAGACAGACAGACCGACAGACGGTGAGACAGGCAGGCAAACAGAGAGATACAGAGAAAAAGGCAGACAGTCTGAAGTACAGATAGAGTAACAGATAAGCAGACAGACAGACATATAGTGAGACAATCTGACAGAAACACGAACAGACAGACAGTCAAACAAACAGACAGTTAGAGTGTTTTGATCCTGATAATTTTAATGTGAGAACATTTCAGACACATCTCCTAAGAAGGTTTACTCTCTTCTGATTAGAATCTTCGCTTGCATTTTAGGAATTTAGCCCTGAAAATTTCTACAACCTACTTGAAGAAGAAGGACGAGAACTGGAGAGGGTCACCGACAAGGCAGATATCACTAGCTACGTGAAACTCAAGTTAGGACTGGGACAAGCTGAAGATAACCGACCAGACTCGCCAGAGGATCCAGAACCTGAGTCACCATTGGTAAGAATCTCCATCTTCCTCTTTCATTTTAAATGAACTGAAGTTCATCATTCCTTGATTCGTAAGTTCTTTCCTTCCTCCTTGTCATCCTGTGTTGGGCTCTTTCAGTTCAATTTGTTCCCTCTCTGTAGGTGTCTTCTTCCTTCTCTTGTTCTGATTAACCCAATCAGTCGGTTTTCTGGCACTTTCTTTATTGAAGTAGTCCTGTGTCGTTGTGGTAAATCTATTTAGGTGTATTGTTATTTTGGATACAGTGCGCTAATCTCCATTTGTATGATTTCATTCTTGTTAGAAATCTGCCAGTCCTAACTCGACAGTAGGAGAAATGCCAACAGAGGAAGACTTTGAAATCATCAAACTCATAAGCAACGGTGCTTACGGGTAAGACCACAACACCGGAAACTACGTTCTCTATCTACTCTTTGCGAGAAGTGCGTGGGTTCTGTAACGTCCCTGCTAGCCAGAACAGAGAAGATGCAGAAGACGGAGCTTGCGGTTTATCGTTCTAATCCGAAAAGACAAGGATGTGTAACCATTTGTAGATGTCAAAGCAAAGGCAGCGTATTCTACCCAGTTATTTTAAGACCCTGAGTGTTGGTCCGGTCTCGACCTTGAACCCACGTCCTTCTACAGGGCAGACCGGCAATCGACAACCTAAGCCCACCCTGCCCCCATATTTATCCACCTCATGCACCGATAGGTTTTCCTTTGCATCAGGTTGGTTGGTACTGTAGGAAGGGGAGACCTAATAAATGCGGCGATGGTTGTTTGACTCAATATTTTTTCTTCTTGAATTACAGTGCTGTTTACCTAGTACGACACAAACAGACTCAAATGAGATTTGCGATGAAGAAGATGAACAAGCAACTTATGCTGCACAGAAATCAAGTGCAACAAGTGTTCGCAGAAAGAGACATTCTGACCTTCGCCGAGAATCCGTTTGTGGTTGGAATGTGGTGCAGTTTTGAGACGAAGAAACATCTTTGTATGGTGTTGGAATATGTCGAGGGAGGAGATTGCGCATCGCTTTTGAAAAACAGTGGACCGCTTCCCATGGATCTCGCCAGGTAAACGGCTTTTCAGTAATTCTCTAAAAGGGTAAAACAAAAAAAAATAGCGATTTTTTAACCGAGTGTGGAAAGTACTTCCAGATTTTATCGGTTTTGCTTCATCTGGCTCAATGATTGGTCTAGAAAACGTGCGTCATCCTCTCAACCAATGAAATGCAAGGGTAAAATCAATGGCGACTTTTTTGTTAAACTTGCAAAGAATGCGAAACTTAAAGTTCTGAGGGAATTGAATATGCTGGCCTTATTCAAGTAGAACTGCACGAACCATACCCTAACGATTACACAAAAAATCCAGTTACTTAGTGACTTTGTGTTTTTTTTTTATCATCAGAGCCTACGTAGCTGAGACCTTATTAGCCGTGGAGTATTTGCACAGTTATGGCGTCATTCATCGGGATCTTAAACCTGACAAGTAAGTGTTGATAAAAATGTCTCTGTTCATTTTTTCTTTAGTTCGTTCTTTCATTTGCACAAGCACAAGTGTTTCGTCGCTCGCGGGAAAGTCTGAGACCTTAAGCAATGCTAGCTGGCCAAAGGTCGATAAGGTATCTAGTGCCAGACCTCGGCAAAGCCCCGACTCGTTCCGAATCTTCCCGCGGACGGAGAAACGCTTGCTTCCAATTTTTCACCCTTGTCTTTATCTATGCACGCATTTATCTTTTTTTTCATCTTTTATTTGTTGTCTGAATTTGACATCCTTTGTGATTTTTTTTCTCTCCAGTCTTTTAATAACATCACTGGGTCATATAAAACTCACAGACTTTGGATTATCTAAAATTGGACTTATGAACAGTAAGTACTCGTTTTTTCCATTCGTTTTCATTGTACTGTTTCGCGTTTCTAGGGCTTTATTTGGAACCCTTTTGATCCAGAGTCCTTTGTACCCCATATCAGTTTGCATATTCTCCATACTGTTCTCTATACTTCTCTGAAGGTGCTGATAAAGAGAATTTGTGTAACAATCAAGAGCCTCTTGAATTCGTGATCATTTCCCTTATTCTCGTGACCGTTTTGTTTGATTCAGGGGTGATATTGTAAGGAGAAATTAGATGCTAGTCACTCTAAGGGATCGAAAGGTTAATCAACGGCGTCTCCCATTCTTTCTTCGCTGATTTTCTCTCGTATTTCTCTTCTAGGCACCACACATATGTATGAACACTCACTCGCTCAAGAGACAAAACAGTTCATGGACCAGCAAGTTTTCGGTACCCCGGATTATCTGGCGCCTGAGGTCATTCTCAGGCAAGGCTACGGCAAGCCTGTGGATTGGTGGTCCTTAGGGATCATCCTCTACGAGTTCCTCATTGGAGTGCCCCCCTTCTATGGTGACACGCCCGAAGAATTATTCGCTGATACTTTGAGCGGTGAGTGAGAAAAAAGTCACAATTTCACATTGGAATATAGTGTAGATCTTTTCCGCGTACAAAATTGCTCCCCAGGTAACCAGCTAATCTAACCCGAGAGTGACTTTTCGGAAGTTTTCGTCTAAATTCGGATGATTCCGTCCAATTTTCTATGGTTTCGTTCAAACTCGGACGGTTCCGTCGGCATTCGGACGGTTCTGTCTGATTTTGCCCGGTCTTTCTGTTTTTCGGATAGTTCCGTTCGACTTCGGAAGGCTTCGTCAGGTTTGGGATGTTCCGTTCGTTTTTGGACGATTCCTTCCATCTTCTAACGTTTGCAGCCGGAGAGGAGATTTATCTCTGATTAGATTTTTATAGTCTTTTCCTCCTCATCATTACAGGTGTCATTGAATGGCCAGGAGAAGACGAGGCTCCTCCGGAAGACGCGCGGGATCTGGTAACGAAATTACTAGAACAGGATCCTATAGCACGTCTGGGCACCGCAGGTAAGTGGTCCTGGGGTCGATTTTATGTACCATAATACCTTTGTCTTTTTAAATCGCGAGCTTTCAGCTGTAGCGCATATTCGTCGAACTCTGCGCAAGTAGAGACTATGAATTATCTTATATCTGCACTCATGATTTTGTCTGTGTCACTATTCATAACCTATAAACAATTTTTACATCAGCGCCGTCTTCCGCCTATTGTTCGGCAAATCTCCGTTGAAATTCCCGATGAGTTTCCGAATCATTTTCGTCTGATCTGAAATAGTAAAAGTTACCCAAACATTTTGTCGGTTGCGTCTCCTATCAGGGATTGTAAGAATTTCGTCTAAAATATCCTTGACGTTTCTCGTGTAGCCCTTTCATGATGTATTTTCTGGAATGTTTTTTCTCTCTGTTCAGGTTCACACGAGGTGAGGGAACACAATTTCTTTCTGGGCTTAAATTGGACGGCGTTGCTGAGACAGAAAGCTGAATTTATACCTCAACTTGATGGCGAGGACGACACAAGCTACTTCGATAGTAAGTCAGTTAAAACGTTGTTGAAGAGTAATTTTCAAATGTCGTCGAAAATGTGATTGCTAAAGAAAACTTGCACCAGCCTCTCGATTTCTCAAATGTAAACATAAAGCTCCCATTTTGCTCGAATGTGTTCTACAACCCCTGAAACGCCATCGTGACAAGATTCCAATCATTCCGCTCCTTGTTTCAGCTCGCACGGACCGCTACAATCATGAGTTGGAAACAGATGACGACGAAGAAGATGATGAAGAATTCAGCAGCTTTTCAAACGAGTTCAGTAACTTCTCTACGTGTTCCCCCCGGTATTCCCGCATTTGCGGGTCACCGGTCCCATCCCCGGTTACTTCTCCGGGTCCTTCATCCCCCGTATCCCCTAACAACCCTAAGAAGGCTTCAGACGCGAAAGACTCGGGTGAAGAAGTGTCGACTCCCCGAAGCGACCTGAGCTCGGAAAGTTCCCCACCGACTGTCCGAAAGAGGAATCTGGAACGGAACCCGCCACTTAACGTTGAGAGCCGAGACAATGACGAAGATTTCCAAAGGCAACAAAGTGATAGCGGCGTTGATAGCGATCGTCCTCGTAGTCGAACGAATTCGACAAATAAGTAAGCTATTTTTTTGGGGTTGTTTTTATGCCTTTTTCTCCACGAGTAAACAAAGCAATAATTCAAGAGATTAGTTTTTTGATATGGTGATTTTAAGCTAAACTGTGGCGATCGTTCTCTCATTTTTTTTCAGTTCTTTAACCCCTGTGGAACGAGATGTCAGCCCATTTTCCCCACTAACCCCTCCCACCGTCCGATTAAGGAAGAAAGCGTACTCAGATTTGGCCCCAGTACCTATCCCGCTGCTGTCATTATCGGCTGACGAGGAAAGCCCGAGCAAACCCTCCGCAGCCGGCCTCACTGTGGAGACTGAGACCGCGGACAAATATCGGATGCAGCGAACCCATTCTCTCCCGGGCGAGGGAGGCAGAAGACTTTCATCTGTACCCAAATTAGAGCTCTCGTGTAAGTTTAACTTCAACAGTTCTCTCCAGTTACTTATGTATTTCTCTAAAGAGCCTTAGGTTTGCTCCATCCTTCTCGTGATTTTGTTTCACGCGCTTTTCCGCATTTTCGACAGTATCCGACGATGAATATCGCGCTTTAAGCCAACACATACGAAGCCCTCCGGGTTCGCCTCTGTCCCGAACTCCCCCTCGTTCTCCGACCAGTCGCCGAAGAGCCAAGACACTGTCGCTCTGTCTTCGTCCGCCAATCATAATCGAGAAAGGACCTCGTGGATATGGATTCACTTTACAGGCTATTCGTGTGTACTTCGGAGATACGAACTACTACAAAGTCCATCACCTTGTGTCGGTAAGTCGGTGATGTAATCGAGCAATGTCTCGTTGTGAAAGATTTGTTTGTTCTGGTAACCTCCTTTTAGGATGGATAGATTGAAAGGGTGAACCTAACAACGATGATTTTTCCAATGTTCTCTCATTGGTAAAGGGTAAGAAAGCATCAGACATGAAAATGTTTAAATTTTTGAGTGAAAAGCCGAGTGACGAAACATTTGTGACTGTAAGTGTTTCAAGTTTAATAGACCAGCTTTGCTCAAAGAACGGAGCAGTTGCTGAAGTTTCAGGTGGAGAGTTTCGCATGATCAACAAGCCATTGTTTTTTAACCTTCTCTTACGACTTAGACGCGACTCTAGTTTTGATAGGAATTTTATTTTTCTGTGTTTGTAGAATGTGGACCATGGCAGTGCTGCTTTTGAGTCCGGTCTTAGGCCTGGCGACTTGTTGACCCACGTGAACGATGAGGTAATTTTCGTGCGAATGCTTTATTTTGATGTAACTGGTACAAATGCTACAGAGACTCTAATTGAGACTCGAGTTTTGCTAGGAATTATAATATTAGGGCCATTTATCGAGGAAAGGTAGCCGCGATTGACAATAAAAGGCCAACTTGCCTTGGATACCATTTATTTGATCGCTTTAGAGGCAGAGGACAGCGATCAACTTTACTGGCAGTGCAGATGTGAACCAAATCTACGAGAACTCTGTCTATCATTTAAGCAGTATTCTTGTAAATGGTCGCGTTCGCGGGATTTATTTTTTCTTAGCTTTCTCGTTCCAAGGGCCCCTTAATAGCTTTGTCACGAAACGCTTACAGAGTTGCGTTACGCGGTCACAGCGGCCATCAGGAAAGAGCCGCGTTGTGTTACTACTAATTGATTGTTTGAACTGCAATGTTTTTATTGATGAAATCTTTAACTGTTTTTGTTACTTCTTCGTCGGTTGAAACTCGGTATTGCAAAAGAAGCTTTATTGCTCAAGTGATCTTGACGTAAGTGCATGGTGCATTTTACTGGGAAAAGAGTCGCATGCGAGCTTCTGTGGTCTACAGCCGTATACCACAATAGCTCTCTATCAGTACAGTAGGGCAAATCCACATCAATCTCTGTAGACAACAGCAACAGTTGCTCTTGGATGACCGAGTCCTTAGATACATTCTGAACGCAATCTAGAACATCCTGGAAGCATATAATTAAAGTATTCTGGTAGAATTGCATCATAATTACATAACCTACTAGAATGTTTTTAGTAGAAGGTTCCATGATATGACATCAGAACGTTGGAGCATTCACGTTGCCGTGAATAGACATTATAAGAATTTCCATTTTACAGTCACGTCCCATAATGCATCATGCTATTTTATTCGCAGTCGGTGATGGGGCTCAGTCATCGCCAAGTCATTGAGCTTATCCTTGGTGGTGGAACGAAAGTGAAACTCAGTGCTACGGAACTCGCCAAGACATCCATTAAAAGAGGAGGTCGGAAAAGGGTGCTGTCGGCAAGTAAACAAGTCCGAAAGAAGCTTCCTATCAAACGCGGAAGAAAAGGAACTGCTTCTCAAAACCTTCCTTCTCCTGGTTCCGAAACGGCAGATAAACATCCGAAACAAAAACCGTTCTGGAAGCGGTTTGGCCGTCGAGCAAGTCTGTCGCCAGGAAGCAGCCTTCGGAGAACAAGTTCACTGAAGCGTGTGGTGTCGTCACCAGATTCCCCTCGACCGGCCTCACCCAAACTCACCTCGCACTCGTTTGATTTTCGGGCGTTGTCGGATCAGTCGTCATCTTCTGTCGGTAGTAGTCCTGCATCGTCACCAAGTTCGCCTTGCGCGCATGGCCTAGGACGACCAGGTCAGTACAAAAAAAATTTTTTTTTTAGGTCAATAAGAAATTGAGCTTTTTAAATTCGCAAGGTCAGTTGTATTTATTGGGGCGTGATGGGCAAAGGACTCTGGATCTCTAAAGGTCCGGCCTCGACCTTTGGATGGTGTCACTGTTCTCTCTTTGAGAGATAAATCAGTTTTGTTTCAGTAACCAGATGGAACAACTTGGTCGCCAAATTGTCCGATTTGAACAACTCTTCGCCATAATGCGAAATATGACAGGGCGAGGATTTCAAGAAGTTTTTTGGCAACACCGTAAACCGGGCTAAGTCCTGAAGGATTTTTTAGCCACTCACGTACATGTAAGCAACCTAACCTAATCTTTTCTCTTCTGTTAGGAACTCTACAAGGAATTATTCCAAAGCTGCGAGCGGTTCGTTCTCCAAGAAGAAAATCATCAGCGCACGTTCCCGTGTCACCCCTAGCAAGGACACCTTCGCCAACCTCAGTCTCCCCCTCTCATTCTCACGCTCATGGACACCAGCCTCGTAGCACGTCCCCTTTGACCCTTCGGGGGTCCCCTGCGTCACCACATCTGGCTACAATTACGCCCCAGACCTCCCCGAGGCCTGGGTCGCCTTTATTAAGACGCGCCTTATCTCCGGATCATTTTCATCTCAGCAAACACGATAAAAAGACTGAATTTCGCCGCAAGACATCTCGTGATGAGAGATCTCTCGGGAGACAAGACAGTTTTGAGCGAAAAGGACGCCACCACCGTAGACATGATGCAGTATACCAAGCTGTACGTTGTGTTGTCGAACACGAAAGTCCCCTCGAACGTCCGCGAAGTGTTAGCTTGAACGAAACAAAAAGTCCAAATAAACTGGAACTTAAATGCGAGCTACGAAGACATTCCGAACAGCCACCGAAAATATTGTCAAATCTTAAGCTTGAACCAAGAGGCAATTCAGGAGAAAAGCTAGATGAAACAGATTTGGATACGAGGTTTTGACGGCTGGCCGTTAATTACCAAGAATCGAACAATGGTGAACTTCGATGGATCTCCTCGACTGGTTGGAGCAATTTTCTGTGGTTTATCTGTTGTATTCCGAAATTGCAATGGTTTTATTTCACTTTACTCTGTGATTGGTTGAAAATTGCAATGGTTTTATTTCACTTTACTCTGTGATTGGTTGAAAATTGCAATGGTTTTATTTCACTTTACTCTGTGATTGGTTGAAAAAAAAAACTCGCGCCAACCTCTCAACCATTCAGATGCAAGACCTGAATCAACTGCACCGTGGTCAAGTTCAATTTTCCGCGCTTAAGTTATTTTGGGTTCGGTTCACGACAAAAAAGTTCTCAATACCAAAAGACAGACTGCCCTGTAGATACTGTAAATACCTGTAAATAACTGAGATATGTACATAGATACAAAGACAGATACATTATGTCAATTAGTTAACTTAGATGTTTTATTGTGTATGAGGTGACCAAAGTCTTGTTTCGTACACGTAACAACGTGGACAAATTGATAGGTACATTGTAAAACTATTGAGAAGCAGTCCTGCGAAAGGGGGTCATATACTCTTTCGTCAGAATTTGCATTCGTACCTTAGATGAAAATGTCGCGGTTTCTGCGTCATGGGCTTTTCAAGGTTGTAACTAACAATCCGGGAAGTTCAACCTCATCCTCGTTTCTTTTTGGTTTCTCAAGTAAATTATTGACATTTTTCTATATTGCTAAATGAATATGTTTGTGTTTTCCTTCACATTGAAGGTTATTTTACGTAGCACAACAGACGACGAGCAATTTTCAGTTGAGTGTCGAAAGTGATTCGGGATTGCTTTGTCTCTGGTTGACTCCGCTGTATGATTGGTTCAGAATATTCGCCCCACTCTCTTAACCAATCAGATTACATACTGAATCCTACCGCGACCACGTCACTTGTGTTTTCTCGTGCCTCAGGAAGTTTGCTTGTTTTTACTCTGTTCTTATCGTTTCTTAGTGATATTTTTCTTTATCCTGATTGAACACAGAGTGCTTGAGTGGTTTTTTTTTTTCGACACTCAATCGAAGAGCGCTTAAACATTTCGACAAGTAATTCATTTACCTTTAGATTACAGTGAAAACTCTCAGAGAAGAACCAGGATTTTCAAAATTTAAGTTTCCATAACGAAATAAGGTTAAGAGCTTGTTGGATACGTCGTTGTTTGGTGGGAAAAAGATGGTTGTTCCAGGTTACTGCGATTCAACTTTACATCGACTGTTTCCAGGTTCTTATTTTTGAGTTTAGTCCAACTGGACAGTCCCGGTTTGATGTATAAGAGTTCATAAGTTCTCGAAGAGTTTTGGAACAAACTCATTATTTTGTGTAACTAGTATCAGGTGAAACAAGAGAGTTTAGAGGGAATTGGCGTTTGCGAGAAAAGTATTGTTACCGATTGAATAATGTGAGAGCGTCTTTGTGAAAGTTTGAAGATTTGTGCCTGAAGCATGCATGTGTGGTATATGGAGTATGTGTGTTTGAGTGTGCGTGTTTACGCTTCGTTTTCACTTGTGTACGTATATTTTTGTCCAATCACATAGATTTGTGATAACCGTGCGAGGGAAGCTGGTTTTCTCTCGAGTGCCATAGCAATACAAATTCTTTCCAACCTCTCGTCGAGTTGCGCGTCCAGTGGCATTGGCGTGGTAGATCGTGATATTAGGGGCTGGAAAAGACACTTATTTAATTTTCATTGAATGATTCTGAATGGTGTAAATGATAATAAGTGTAATGAGTGATAATTTTGAAAAAGTGGAAATAAACGAAGTATAACATATTTTGCTGAAGCTTGCTGGCCACTTACTGAAACATCGTGTGGGGCTTAAGCCCACTGGAAAACCATAGTACATTCTGTGATGTTGCAATATTCCTCGGGGTAATAATTATTTACTTATATTTTGGTGCAGGTAGCTAACTGGATATCCGTGGGACATTCCGTGACGTCTAAGTATCACAAGTGGGTAACGATCATTAACAAAACCTTTGGGGCATCATGGAACATTCCTTGATGTCCGAATATCACTAACATAACTTTTGGGGCATGTAACTAACTGGGTATTCGTGGGACGTTCCGTGATGTCTTTAAATTACTCGGGGGTAACGATCATTAACACAAATTAAGGGGCATGTAGCTAACTGAATATCCGTCGGATGTTCCGTGATGTCTAAATACTACTCGGGAACGATCATCAAAATAAATTTAGGGACACGTCGCAACCGGATATCCGTGGAACATTCGGACATCGGTAATTTTTCACTCTTGCTTAACAAAGTGCGGGAAATTTGTTTAAAACTTTCAATAATGGTTTCTAGTGACGAAAGTTGACAAACTTTTACATTGTCACAGTCTTGACGCTTCCTGTTCTGAAGTTTCATTGTTTTTCTTAATTGACTTTTCAATGAAGAATATTGAAGATATTTTCAAGTAGGTGATAAAAACGATCTCTTATACAAAGACTTGCACGATTTCCTCGTAATCCCATCGCCACACATTCGGGAGAACACGAACTGAAAACTGGGCGGCGATTTCGAACCGATTTAAGTTCCTCCCGTGTTGAGACCAATTACAAACATCTAGTACACCGAAATATTGCTATAGAAACGTAGGCCTTGGTGTTTGTTTCGTCACTGAGTGCTTTATTCTCTCTATGTAAACACGTTTGAATATCAATTGTAGTTAACATGACTTAAAAGCAATTCTCGGCTGTGTGTCATTTGTTTAAATACACCACACGGCTTGTTTTGACATTATGTATAAAATGGATGACAGGATCACCAAAATAACTCAAACACTAAGGTACTTAGACGGTTTTTAGTAATTTTTTTCTCTTTTTTTTTGTATAAAAGTTTCACAGTCTGTCTGCTTCGGCAAAAGATCCATCTTGCAGCGGGGAAATTTCGTCCTTGAAAAAGTGCCAGCGACGGTTTTCTTTTTGTTTGTGTCTTTCTTTCTTTTTTCCTTTCTTTTGGGAAACAAAACAGTTTAATTACGTTCAAGTATAAAAACAATTGTTGCGTTTCTATTCCTTTCTAAATATATCGTCTATTGTTATTTCCTGGTCTTCTTTGCGCAAATATCTACAGTTGGACAAATCATTCCAATTTTCGGCCGACTTTTCCTTCTGAGCAACTCTCTCTTCCCTCAGGGGGGGAAGCCCAGTCCCTCGGGATACTTTCCGTACCCGACCATGAGCGACACTCAATCTACGACCTCCGAGATAATCTGGGAGCGCATCGAATACGACCTCGGCATCGTGCGGGTCGTGTCTCCCGGGGGGAACCCCCATCGGACTGTCTTCTCGAGTTCCCACATTAAGGATCCCCTTTTTCTGCCAGGGAAGACTCCGCTTTCTGAGTTCTCTTTGGTTTCCCGATGGAAATTCTTCGAAAATGCTCGGATTCGTTCGTATAGAAATTCTACCTCCCTCCGGTTTTTGTTGTGTTTGTGAAATTCTCCGGTCTGAGCTTGGTATGCTCGAGTCAACGGTTCTGATATCAGTGTTTGTTACAAATCGACCGCGAAATGCATCGTTTGTCGACCTCTTTCGCTCGCCTCGTTGTTGCTCTCTGGGAGAATATTTCGAAGGAAATGCGTTTTCAGCGCCGATTCGACTCGAGAAGACTGTTTCATTCAGTGTGCGTGAAGGAAAGCCATCTTTTTTCCATACGCTAGCCTCGTGTTCTTCTGTCGTTCTATCTTCTTTTCGTTCTTCTAACACTTTCTCCGCACTTTGCCCATCATTTAAATCGTCTTTAGCCCTCTTGCTGTATTGCGTGTGTGAACTAGGAGGATGGGTTCCACTCCTTCGCCTAGCCACATCGACATCACCGACATCTCTCCTTTCTTCAGATGGAACTGTATCAATTGTCGTCCTTCGCGGGCGTCTTTGAGGTTGCTCAATCAATGACGGAACATACTGTGTGTGATTTCCACCTTTGGATACTTGCAGTTCTCGTTGTAACCCGTGCAGAATTTCCTTTAACTCGCGAGTTTCATTCCTAATGCGTTTGTTTGATATCTTATATGAAGTATCGATCGCTTGTAACTTCAGCTTCAGTTCGTTGTCTGTCTGCGAAATCTGCGAAACCCGCGTGGTGGACGCGAGAATGTTTCGTTCTTCTACGGATCGCGAAATCTTCCTGTGATCTCTGCTCATTGTGTTTTTCTTTCAATTTAGTTAAGTCTTTTTACAATTATATGCCACTAATACATCTCACAACACAAGAGCCAAAACTTTTCAAGTTTTGAGTAAACTGTGGCTTCCTGCGTAACTATATAACAAGTCGGGGTAAAGAGAATTTGAAGTTTTGTCAGCAGACTTACTCTCATTACTTAAGAAGAGATATGAATTTTATAGGTCATAGTGTAAAAACGGAAAGATTCTAAATAGCTCAATAAATTTGTCCCCAAAGGTGTGTCTTTGACGTTTCCAAACGTTTCTCATATAATTTTTTTCTGGTAAAATTCCCAAAGTTGCATACTGCAGCACTCTATTTTGAAGCGAACGATAAGAAATATTTTGAGACGGAAAAAATATATATATTTTCAAGAACTTCAATTATCCCTTCACTTATAGCCGTATATTCAAAGACATGATTCCCAACGAAGAGTTTTCAAGAACTTTTAGTTTATGAAGCAAATATTCTAAGAAATGTCCTTAACGACCATTTTTGATCACGTCACAAACTTGTCTTAACAGTTCACTGCCAAGGAATTCAAGTAAACAGTTTACAGAATTTTTAGAATATCTTTGTAGAAACGAGAGTTTTGATAGCTGAAGAATTAGAACCGAGATATTTTAAATGGCGAAAGAAGTCTTGATACGTTGTTTCCTTCGCAGAAAGAAGACGTGCTTATGGTAATAAATTCTAACTCTTAAATACTTCGTGTTTAATTTATCTATTTTTATCTTTTGTACAAAACATGACTTAAGCAAGGTTTTAGATAAATTCTATTGACTTTAATGAAACTTTGTTTACACCAAGATTTAGGACTCACGCTATGGCTAAAATTAACATAAGACAGCATAGGTAAAGCGCATTTTTTGACTGACAGGCATTCGTCATTAAAGTAATCACAAAAGCCAGAATAAAGAAGAATCGAAAAAAAAACAAATTATAAAGTAAACTCAAAACACGCAAACTTTTTAAGCGCGGAAAAACGAGAGAAACCAGATTGGTTTTAGTTTCCTATCTGATTATTTGTGAGGGTGGCGTGAGTTTTCTGCACCAATTGCAATCACAAGGGCACGTGAAAAAGCAAGACCAAGGTAGTCCCAGATTACTTTCAATGCCAAATAGCCCTATTCTCACGCAGTAGTTGATGTAAATGATAGTTCACTTTCGAACACAATTTTTCAGTGACTCTTTAGTCGCCCTATCAAGATCAAGCCATCCCTCGAGAGCTTTTGTGTTGCATCGAGCACAAGTTAGCTAAATATTACACACAAATGAGTGTCGATGAGTAGTGCGCGAAACCCGTCAGGGGAAGAGGTGAGTGGCCATTTTGCACGACCGCGACAAAATTCCATCAAGGAAAAAGTAGAAACTATTTTCATGACATTTTCCATTATTTTGGGATGGATATGTCAGAGAGATGTTTTTCAATTTCAAATGAGTGTTGTATTATAATCTTAAGCAAAGTAAATAGGTTTGAAATAAACGAAAGTATCGATCATTTCTTGAAAATGCTTTTCACGACTGAGAAGAAAAAGGAAAATTTGTTTTAGAATATAATTACTCTAGCCAAGTTTGCCGGGGTACAGATAATTATTCAACGAATGACAACGGGTTTCTGATTTAATGCGATATGTCTTAGGTATTTCCATCGTTATATCGTCGCGGCGCGCTCTAAAACTACAACAACAAGTTTATTACCATCAGCTCACTTTCTTTACATTGGTGTGAAATATTATTTTCATTGAGCCAATTGGAAGGCTGGTTAGGGTCTGAGACTTTGACCTTTAAATTCTTGTACAAACATAATGCAAATATCAGTAGCTTTTCGTCTTGAGGAGAATAACAAATTAAACAGACGGAAATCACGCGTAAGCTGCTTTTGTGGACTAAGTCATTGACAACAGGTCTAAACTGATATCGAAAACAGATTTCAGTTGAGGAAGTTGAGTGGTGCATTCACATCGGATTTTTTTAGTGAGAATTTCTTCATCAGCGTGAAGATTGGTTTGTACATAAAATGACTGACCTAGGGCCGCCAAGAATTCATTCTGTCGTAGCAGCACGAAGCACCGCTCTAAAGATCAAAGAACTGTCATCGAGTCTTCTCTCTGAGAAGAAAAAAAAAAACGACGAGGGAGCGTTTGCAGTCACGTATTGCGATGATCCATCAAACCAGGTACAGAAACTAGTTCAGCCCAGCAGAGAGGAGCTTCCGGGAAGGCGGCGATCTGCTACAACGCACACGGCTTCAGCAAATGATCATGAACACTATGTTGGAGGAACAGACGTGAGTGCCGCCTATCGTTATTTAGATCCAGAAGAAGGCGGAAGTCGAAGACAAAGATCGAACACAGTGACGACGATTGGATTCAATGAAGCAGCCTCGTCAGATTCGGAGTCTGTAAAGATACCACATTTCCGATCGGGGGATGGTGCGTCTCGAAGGAGAAGATGCACAAGATCAAGAAGGGCATCCGTAACTACTCAATCCAGCGGACAAGAACGAATCCCGGAGCATGGAACTCTAGAGAATTCTTTTCGCACAGAGCCAGAGAAGATGTTTGAACACTGGAAAGTTACAGAGATCATCAAGAAAACTTTTGAAGAAAACTTGCTTGAGGAACACGAGGAACACGATGATCGCCGCAATTATCAAAAAATGTGTACAATCCTTGCAGACTTGATCAAAGAACAGGTTAAACATTTGGAGTTTTCTAGGCATAAAATCATCTGTATTGTATCCATAGGCCAGAGGAGAGGGGAGAGCGTGCGCCTGGTGAGCAGATGTGTTTGGGATCCGAGACATGACAGCTATGCTCAATATTATTTTGAAAAAGGAGACCTGTTCGCCTTTGGTGTAGTGTATGGTGTGTATTACGAGTAACAGAGACACTTAGAAAACAACTGAACGTGTAAGGAAAAATTCAAAATGGTCGCCTCATGGCAGATGGTATGTTTGAAAACCTAATAGCGTCCAGAAGAAAGAATCTTGTTGATGGGGTGTGGCAAACAATTCGACAAGCGTCTTTGCTTTGTTTAAAATCTGACAAGTCGCAATGCAAACCAGTGTACACGTAGTTTATCGATGCAATTGAAATGTTGAAGAGAAAGATAAACAACTCTGCTTGCGTCTGTTTTGACGTAACTGTAGGCCCCTTCCTGGATACACCGCAGTAAAACATATGCGCATGTGCAAACGTTGAAAAGCCTTTGAAGTGGCATAAGTTAAATAGAGGCCTTGCATTGTGCTATAAGGCTGTGAATCCAAATTGTTTCACTGGAGCTGTTAGAAAACGACCACACCAGCTAATAATTTAGAAGCTCATAACTTTTCTAGTGAAGCCGAAACGTAGTTAGATACCTTTTGCGCTCGAAGAGTCTCATCCTTCTCTACTTTCAATTGTTTCATTCTCAGCTTTCTCTCAGAGTTTCAATTCTTACTGACACAAAGTTTATCTCGATACGTTTCTTAAAAATTCTGCGTGGAAAATCGGCGCGCCGTTGGCCAAAAGTGATCCACGTGCGCATGACTGGTGTTTCATCGCTTTGTTCCTAAGGGAACTCAACCTTATAAAATATTCTAATTTCCTCGAATTCTACTCTCTTTACATCTTCTCTCAGCATTGTGGGGTCAGTCTGTCTTTATGCCTCTTGCATTTTTCAGTTCGCGTACGTGATAGAAATTCAAATTAATTGGTCCAATTTTTGGCCAAAGACAAAGGCATGACGAGTTCCGACGTCGACTGGACGGCGTCGGTTGCAATTAATGCACGCGAAGTGTCCAGAATGGTTCCTTTCATCATAAATCATATTCCATGTTTTCACTAACAAATATTCCCTTACGTTTATCAGTTTTAAGATAAATTTGGTAAGTAATTAAATGGGTGAATCTTCGGAAAGATTCTGCTCATCACTTAACAGACGAGTTTAACAAGTAAATTTCCAATTATGCGCCAAATTTTGACATATTTGCTTATCACAAACTTGGCTTTCATGTTCATGCAACCGTTTAGTCTTGCGACGTCTAGTCAAAATACAAAATTTCAAATTTATCACAATGCTTAAGTTTTTTCCTAACAGTGGAGATAGTTCTCTGTTCAGCAAGAATCAGTATATTCATCTTTCTGCCCCGTTTTAAAAACACTTATCTCTGTGAGCATCGATTTAAAATCGTCAAGAGCTTTTGATTATTCCGCTTACCAATGGTGACGTTGATTACCACTAAAGCTGTGTGTGTTTATAGATTAAGAATGATTATAAGGTTTGAAAAGTTGTTTTTTAATTAATTTAAGATCGCTTTGAACAGTACATCGACATCCAAATACTTTGTAGATAAATTCTTAACAATCAAAAAACTTGTCTAATTAAATGCGTCGAAACAGTTTCATTTTTACTATGCGCCATTAGAGCGTAAATCCCCGCCGTATGCCCTTATTTCTAAATATAAACTACCTATGTTGATTCTCCTTTTTAATAACATTCACCCAATAGAGTCGAAAGGATTACAAAGCCAAAACTCAAATGTACAAAACATAAAAATTTAGTTAAGTCAAATTTCACAAGCTTCTTAATTAATATTGTTATGCTACAATTGATTTGTCGCAAATGACAGATGAAATATTATATTCTCATTTATTGACGGCGCACTTATGTTAGCAAATTATTATGTGAAGTGATTGATTTATAAAGATCTTGTGACAAGAGAGATGGCATTGGTAAATGCTTGAGATTTAGGTCTACAAACAGTCAGGAATTAGTTGTCACTTTACCCGAAGTCGAGGTACAGCATGCAACATCCTCTACGAAAATTAAACCCGGAGTTCACACAAAAATACTGAGTACTGATATCAGTAAATGACTTCACTGTTATGTTCAATACGAGGCTTTTTACTCGTAATAAATACCGTAAACTGTTCCAACAGCAAAGAATTTTTCTCTCTCAAAACACGCGCTAACACACGTATCGAAGTGGCTATTCCACAGACAGCGACTTGCCACTCTGACTCCTTGGGACTCTTTTGTTCCAAGGGTAATCATACAAACAATCTTGTATCGCTCAATGTTCAGCTGTTTTACGTTTTCCAGTATCCGAGCAGTCAGCAACTTGACGAGAAACGGCGTGTGATGAGCACTGTATGTATGGGAGTCTAAAGTATCCAAAGCTTCTTGAATCACCACCCGAACCTTTCCTTCAGGAAAACGAATCTTTGGCTCCAATCGGTACGTATTCTCGAAGGTTTTCTTCAATTTTTCATCCGTTGGTTTTGTTTCAACAGCTGGCTTCTTGAAATTGGAGAAGAAAGACGCGGCAGATATACGTCTTGACAGTCCAGTAATTTTTCGCGAAAGGTTGCTTTCTTGGGAGACTTTGCGAACGCTTTGCTCGCTTTCCACGGAAGGACTTCGTTGACGTCCAATCTTCTCTACAGAACTCTCGAATAAAACCGCATTGGATTCGGTTTCTTCCGACAGTGTGCGACTAGAATGGCTTTGCCTTCTGTCGTTCATTTTCACAAAGTTTGCGTGTCTTGCTAAGTTTGATCAACGAAGCCTGACTGTTTCTACAACACTGAGGCATTAGCTTATTCAAATAGTTCTCTGGCGCACGGGCTCAATTACCAAAAGAACAATTATAAGTGGGGTAATAATCTCGCCATAAACAATAGATTTTAAAAGCTTGGATGAGCATGTTTTAATTTTGCGGCACAAAAGCAAAGTTTACTCACTTTACAAGGTTTTCTTGTTAAAAAAAAGTTCTCTGACCGCCGGAAACTTAAATCCTCGAATTAGGTCTGAGTCATCTGATTACGTCTCAGGAAAAATTAATACTAATTCTAAAAAAAAAACTGAAAACTTGCAAACATGCAATAATATCACTGAAACACAGACCAATTTACCTACTAAATAAAAAAGAATGCGACTGTATTTTTTTGTAAATAATTTATCATTCTGTTGATAAAGTACTTCAGTTTAAACTGAAAGATTTTTCTTTGTTCTTTGTAATGACAAGAGCGAAAGAACTTGAAAAAGCCACAGACAAAAATTGTGAGCCCAAAAACCTCCTGACACACGCAGGTGCGAGCAGTTGATGCATAAATCTCTAATCCTTATCAAAGAAATGTGTGGAAAAATAGAAACGCCTTTAAGGCGGACTGAATAATTAACAGATGTTTTCATTGACCTTGTTTCAGTTTGCCACTCCAGGGGGAGGCAAATAGTACCCCTTTCTGTCAAAGGTTTGAAATCCTCGGAATTGTCCTGAAAACTGTGACCGAGGGTCTCAATTAGTGTTACGGTTGCGATCGTTGTCGCATGTGTTGTATAGAAGTTGATATATCGCAAAAAAAGAATTAAGATAAACTTCAACATACAATTTTAGCGTCAGATATTTCGTCAAAGCAGTACCTTGCAATAAACTGAGTTCTTTTTGGGTCTCGCAGATTCTCAAACCAGAGTTTCGGCGCCTAGCGAGTCTCCACCTCTGCCACTGATTCGTCGATCATTCTGGCCGATTAGCTGTTAAAAGATTGTGCGTGCAAACCATACACAATTCTCTGGTAAGTTTTAATAACTAGTCCAATTATCGGTTGACAAAAATAAACTGACCTCTAACTCTAGAGATCGATCTGCCCGTATAAGTTATCCTAAGAATTTTTAGTACACTGTGGATGAATTGTAGAGATGTAACACCAAATTCACAGTAAAAGCTATTAAGAAAACGTAAGATCGTCAGGTAAGAGAATTGAAAGATAACTTGAAAGATAATTGATCCCATCCGAGAGCAACGTATTTCCTACCGGATTAATCCTAATAAACTCTTTGGAATCTCGAAATCTAACCACATGATGTTTTGTTAACCTAATGCCCGATCTTTTATCTCACGCCAGTGCTATTTTAGAGTCTGTTTTGTCTAATTCAGTGACAAGATAAGTAATTTCACTTTCTCACTGGCGCAATTCTCCTCACAGCGTATCAGTAGCTTCAGTGGAGTTGGCTGACGTCTCTGAGAATAAAAATGAACGCTAACGTATTTAAACGATGCACGGAGTCGGTCCTAGACGGTAAAGTATTTCTGAATGAAGGATGTCGACCACAAACTGCAGTATTGAATTTCTCCAGCAACGGTTGCCACAATTGTTATCAGTTTCTAAAAACGGGATGAAAATTCTCCAAAAGGAGAATAAATGCTATTCAAAATAAACACCATAAACTGTTCCCACCGCGAAAAATTCTTGTCTTTCAAAGCAAACACTGACAAATGTATCAAACTGATCGTCCCACAGGCACCGACTTGCTATTCTTAAATCCTGAGATCCTTTCGTTCCAATGGTAACCAGACAAACAAACTTGTAGCGCTCAATGTTCAACTGCTTCACACTTTCTAGTATACGAGTGGTCAGTAACTTAGCAATAAACGGCGAATGAGTGGCGCTGTATGAATGTGACTTTAAGGTATCCAAAGCTTCTGTGATAATTGCACGAACGGTTCCTTCAGGGAGTCGAATCTTCGGTTCAAGGCGATAAGTATTCTCCATCAACCTCCTTCTCTGTTCCTTTACAACACTCGTTTCCGTTGGTTTCTTCCAGCTGCTGAAATATGACGCAGCAGAAATTCGTCGTCCAGGAACTGAAATCTTTCGACTTTCCTCTTGGGTAGAGATTTTCCGATCGCTTTTCGTGCTCTCTCCTGAAATGCGACGCTGTTTGCTTGAACCCACAGAGATCTGGCTTTGAACCTCGCTTTCCTCCAACAGGGCTTGGCTTAAATAGCTACGACCTTGGCGTCCAACTACAGGAACAAAATCATCCATTGTAAAAAATGTCCGCGTTCTTACACAATCTGCTTTTCCGGTAAGAGAGTTTTATCGGTTGTTCGGGGATGTTCTCGCGCGCGAAATGTCATCACTCACAAGAAGAACTATTTGCTTTACGTAATCTGAAATAGATAAATGATGAGATTAGGGACTCAATGATTAATTTATCTTTTTCAGATAAGCGGAAGACTAAATAAAAACCACATTTGCATTTGACCCAAATTATACCGTCCTTCCGTTTGACTGGCTAAGTTTAAGAAGTTTATCTTCATACGTACGTCTCCTGTTGACCTTTCGTGAAATCAAGCATGAACACTTAGAGTCTATTGAATTTAGCTGGACTCCAAATTTTGACCAAATATAACGGTACTAAGGCCAAAATAATTTTTTGCTTACAACCAGTGTCTTAATCGTTTTAGCATCTTTGAGGAAGATCAAAGATCAAAGATTTCAGCAAAAACGAACGAGGGGAGATTATTTTACTCCTTTTTCCTTCCACTGCACATGGATCTAAAAACCGCACCTAATAACTGTTGTCATAACAGTTTTCGCAAAACAAATGCATGCCAACCCCCAAGATTTTCCGGATCAATATCAGTATCTGGGCAGCCGCACACCTACCCCTCCCCTAACTTAACAACAGTCAATTGATAATGACGTCGGGTTAGGGGAGGGGTAGGGGAGGGGTAGGTGGGCAGTTGCCCAGATACTGATATCGATCCGATTTTCCTCGTCTCGCAAGTTCCAACAACTTATCTTATCGCTAGACCTCGTTGAAATGTCGAACATATCCCGACGATGTTGTCGGTCTTGAACCTCGAGCCCGGCCGGTCACTTTCGGCAAAATGTAGAAGTGTCGCTTTTAATTTGAATATGCGATATATATTGGAACAAAAGACATGGATATTAATTTATGAAATAACGAGGATAGAATAATATTACATTCATGGATGATAATTTGTAAATATTTATTCGCGGCCTTTGGTGTCTGATTTTAAAATTATAAATCCCTAAATTTGTGTCAATTCTGAAGAGGTTATTGTGAAAAAACGGAAACAAATAACTATAATAATAAAGAAAATTTTAATGGTGTCATATTTGTGATAGTGGTTTTTTTTCTAACCATGCTTTCATATTTTCGTAATTCGCTCAACGACCCGCTAAGCTTTATGTAACAAAAATTAATTTGCTGTGTTCTTTTTGGTTTACATTTCCCTGAAAAGAACAGCGAGGATAATTAGCCATTTGTTTAGCTGCTCGTCTGTGGATCCTAAGAGGTGGAAATAGACACTGTTGCCCAGAAACTAGATTTTAGAAATACTTTTTGTCAAATTCTAGATGATGGCTATCGGTCAAATATTGCGTATAATATTTTGTTATTTTTACTTTTCTCAGTGTTTTGTGAAATTGAATAAAATTTGTTTTGGAAAATTTGAAATTAGGAGCTAAAATTGAACAATGAGCTGATAGTAGATTAACACCTTCTAAAAATTAGTCGTAAAAACTGTAAAAACCGATAAAGAAAGGCAATGTAGGATTTCCCTTCCGTAAATGGCTCGTTAAACTTTCTAAGAGTCCAACATATGTTGATGAAATTTTCCTGTTTGCATTTTTTAGACGCAAGATTTCAGGCTCTGGCCCAACGATAGGAAATAAATGGCGCGGAGTCTTTGCCTCTATGATAGAAACTTCATATATTGAGATATTGTCAAAATAATTAAATGTGACAAATATCTTTAATAGTATTTTGGAAAATTATTACAAACCATGCATTTATGATCGCAAAATTTTATTTCGAAATGTGCGCTGGACGCCAGCCAGACATTTCAAGAGATCACGTTCGCATTTAGCTCCCTATGACACAAAAATAAAACTGCGGAACCGAATTGTGGCGTTTCAAATCAACTTGTTAATTGTTAAAGTTGAAAGCAGGTGATCTAATTAGTTAACCACACATATACAGCCATAATCCTCTCCACAAATTGTTCTGAAAATTCAAGTTTAATTTAGAGAGTTGGAAAATGCCATCGAGAAGATGCCCAAAAAAATACCAACTGGGGCAGTTTTGATTATTTAAACTGCAGAAATCATAATAATTGGAAAAAAAAGATACTTTTGTCATCTATTGGCAAAGAATGAAAATGTCTAAACTGGCGATATACCATATTGTTTTCAATAAATGATTTATATTTTGTTGCAGCATCCATAATGTTTTTCTTTTTCGTGTCCCGATCTATACACAGGAAATAACGTTCTGCTCAGATTTTGAGTGATGAACAATTTATTTCCAAATTTAAGAGTTTTCTCCTGAGCACTTCCCTTAATGATCAAACCACCAATGATATTTAACAAATATGACATTTTGAAATCCATAATGCCCGCTCACCTGCTGTTTTGTAACAATTTTGTGAATAACATTCTGCCCTCAAAGAGCTCAGAGCTCACGAGTTTCTTCAACTGATTTCATGCATATGCAATTTAGTTAATTTAGTTTGACGAAGTAGAGTGACCCTTCTTAGTAGATAAACGATAAATAAGTAAATATACTCTATTAGGTTCAGGCAAGAAAATTATTACTTAGGAAACTCAAACCCACTTGGAGATTTGGCGGAATAACAAAACATAATTTACACTTTTACGATTTTTAATAGGGTTCATGTTAATATTCGTGCACGTTTATGCGAATTCGAAATTCAACCTACCACGGCAAAAATTAATACTGCTGTCGATATGAATCATGCAGCATTGAAAAAAAAGCTATTTGTGTTTTATGACCTTAAGTTAGAACATTTTTACGCTGTTTCTTTTCTTTTATTTACACAACATATGTACAAAATGTCTCAGCAACTAGCGACCGTTGTCGGCTCCAGCATTCTTGCAGGTATTCCAATGGTTGCCTGGTTCGTTTTCCGCGACTGAGCAATTGCGGCCACTTTTGCCGAGGTTTTAAACAATCCTCTCGATCTTGGTGCTGGACTCATGCCAGTGATAGTGCTGTTATTTGCCGAGCTGTCTGAGGTTTTCTCCAGAGAACATCGGCCGGCCAGAAGGTTTTTCATGATGTCTTTAAAAGCACGGCGATATTGTTTGTTCAACGCACCGTAGATCACAGGATTATTGGCGTGATTGCAAAATACCAGTATCATGGACAAAATGTCGATCCAAAATGGGATTTTAAAGCTGGGTTGGACCATTTCAATTAAATTTATTATAGCAGCTGGTATGAAACAAATTAGGTAAGCACCGATGACCACAGCGAGAGTCTTTGTGATGCGTACCTCCTCTACGTTAACAGAAGGTGCATTTGTAGTCATTGATGTCAATTGTCGCGAATGTTCCCGGACCTGCTTGTAAACTTTAAAGCAACAGAAACCAATTATCCCGATAGGCAGAGGAACAGCAACGAAAAGGAGCGTCGTAGAAAAAACGACTGAGCGACTGAAGAAAAAGATACATAGACATTTTCCGGATTGGAATTCAAATTTTGACCATCCTAGCAAAGGTCCGATGGCAAATGGCAGTGGTATGCACCAGATACATGCAATCATTAACGCCTGATTCCTTGCATTAAAAACTCTGCGATAGTAATTCTGTCTTACCACCATATAGTAGCGGTTGATGCTTATTGCAGTGAGACTGTACATGGACGAAATGACAAACTCTGTTGTCATAAACCCGTTTAATTGACACAGCTCTTCCGCGAAGATCCATTTTCCATAACTAATCACAGATACAAGCATAAATAGCAGATTTGTCGATTCCAAAGTGTCTGCAAAAGCTAAACTTGCGATGAGAGCACGGCCTTTCGTACGAACTCTGTTACCTTTCGTACTAATAAAGACAACCATTAAATTTCCAAAGATTCCGATCAATATAACGATTGTGAGAGGCAAGGATGTAATGACAACTGAAGCCGTTGTCCACTGCGAAACCATCTTTTGCTTCTGCTGGCGTGTACTATTAAACACAATTTAATCGTACAGGAACGAATTTTTTCGAACTTTGTCACAATCCTTGGGGGTTTTCCTATAAAACTTCGCCAGAAGTGAGGTAGCTGTTGTTCCGAAAAAATATAATTGATAACTTTAAAGTGTTAGATTGTGGTTTCGGCGTTTAATTCACACCGTTCCTCTATCACCTGTCCTTAATGCAAAAGAGTCGGGAAGTAATTAATACTCCTGTCTGATTGGTCATCGGTTAAAGCCGCTGACAAGAACACAATCCATTCTTGCTAGAAATTTCTCACAATTTTCACTCAACTTTATTTAATTTGTTTTCAGAGCTAATGTTTTCTTTTCAATTCTCCCCACAGTCCGCCCAAAGATTATAAGCAGAAAAAGCCGCTCGTTATGAACTTAGGGCTTAAATATCAAACTAAGAAGACTCATTTCAACTGTGATTGTATTCCGCAGTGAGTCTTGAGCGAGTTTTAATGACAATGCTACAGAGTTTTCTTGATCAAACAACGAAAAAAGTGGAGTGTCAAAAATTGCCTTTTGCCAAAAAAACGGAAGAGTTCGTAATTAAATGAGCAGACAAGTTAAGTAAATTGCTTAGGTTTTCATGATCAAAACGTGGTTTTGAGATCAAAAGTGAGAAAAAATTTGCAATTTTATTGTCTGAATTGTGTCCGATATCAACAAGAAAAAGGTGCGAGCAAACCAATTTTGGGTTGAATTTTTCATCTGCGAAAACCACTCTTTTGGCACAATTTGTAGGAAAGATTTTAAAATTCAAACGAGTATTGGGCAAGGATCAGATATTATACGACCAATCTTTCAACAATCAAAGATTTTAAAATTACATTGAAGATAGCCTTTTATTTGCATTAGGATGGTTAGTGCTTGCATTTGGAAGCCATAATTTTCAAACATTTGTAAATAGAATAGTCTTCTTTAATTTTACTGTTAAAAGAACTAAAATGTCGTACTTTGTGCCGAGTCCAAGCTTGGTGCTATAAACATAGTTTTGTTCTTTTAGATATATATCTATATATTTTTTTTTCATCTCAAAAGCTCAAAATCATGCTGGAAAAAAACATAATTTTGCAAACTCTTACTTTTTTAACCCTTCACATCCTGAAATCAGTATCCGCACTATTCCCTGTACATTTCCTATGGTACTACCAAGAATAATTTGTTCACCAGTCGAGAGCTTCTCTCGGTCGGTGATCATTTCCTTTATTCTCGTGCCCTTAGTGTTTTATCCAGCGGTGATACTGTAAAGAGAAATTAGATGCTGGTCTCTTTAAACTGTTAAAGAAACCTTTACATGCATTTTTATTTCAAAGTAAATGCAGGGTAATAAGACCTACTCTACTGCATACGAGTTCATACGAATCATACGGGGTCACAGTTTGAACAAAATGTAAAAAAAATAGTCGCAAACCAGAGAACGATTTATGGCGCACCTTTGGGTAAACACTCTACCTCAAGCTAAGCAAGTAATGAAAATAAGGAAACGTAAACAGAGATCACAAGATGACAATTGTTTCCTTTTATATCTTTAAATCAAAGTTTTTTTTCTTATTTTGTACGCTGAAATGACTATAAGAATATTTTTATTGTTCCTAATTTAGGGTTCCATTGACAGGCACGTTCGTTCGTTTATCATTCAGATGAAGAGGAATTTCCAGAAAAAAAAATTGATGATAACGCCTGCCATAAATTTATTAATTTTTTTAAACCTGGAATTAATTTTCTTAATTACATCACAATGAGCTTTGTAATAGATTATAAGACGCAATATCTAAACAAGAAATACCGAGTAAAATCGTTTTGTTTTTTCTTATCTAAATTAAAAAAATAATGCACAAATTTAATCAAGCAGAAGGTATTGTTGGCAGTGAATTTTGATTTCAATTGTGATTCCTCTCTATTTTGACATCTTAGAGTAGATATAGTTTTTTGCGCATATTTTACAGATTTATAATGGTAATTTAACTGAGTGGAGTTTACTTTGATCTGAAATCGCAAGTATGATTTCAGACCAAAATTGCACAACACAAAGTAAATACATTTTGAAATGGTAAAATTCAGTCGCTCAGATACAGGATCTCTTAGTGGTACAAATATTTTGGTTATCCAGTTGTAAGCGAGTTTGTAGAAAGTTGCATAAGTTGTTTTTTCGATTTTCCTCCAATTAGTTTGGTTTTTTTAAACAAGCAATTGATTGGCTTTCTCGTTGGTCATGTAAATATATAGTCGCAAACCAGAGAACGATTTATGGCGCACCTTAGGGTAAATAAGAATGGTGAGATTTGTGAATAAAGCCCACCATTGGGGGCCAATCAGATAACAAGGGTCGCTAGTGATTTCAAAATGGACGTAATAAATTGATTTGTAGCACTGTTTATGGTGCAGGTAGTTCTAACTCTGCGGCTACCAACCAATGCTATTGAGCGTTTTCGTTTATTATGTTGAACAAAGCGTTTCCAATCCCATCAGTTTATGAATGAAATTTTAAGATGAACATTTAAAAACAGAGCTATTGAGCAGTGCTTTCGTATGATACTGTTTATTACGCTGTACATGAAACAAGGTGGTTCTAACTTTTAAGCACGTGGATGAAATGCCAGCGTGTGACCCTCCAAATGAAGGTTCCTTTAGGAGCAGTACCTTCATGTGGTATTGTTCATAATGCTGCACGAGGTAGTTCTAAGCCCGTGAATCAAACCCTTGTGTGTGACCATTCATATGAAAGCTACTGGTCAGTTCATTAATTTACACTGTACAAGGTAGTTAAAACTCTTCATTCGCTGGATCATAACGATGAGTAAACATGAATCACTGATGACTTTTAATTGTATCCTGTTCATCTTTCAAAACATATTTTATAATTTCGTGGTAGACTCATCTCTTGTGGCCTATTCTTGCCTTGCTTTACCTTCATATCTCTCATATACTCTTAAAATTTGTTAATCACCGAGTCATTGCTTGTATTTTCTCCTTTTCTGTTACGCTTGGTGGCGTTTTGGCTTCTTTTCATACGTAATCTAAAACATAAAACAGACGTATAAACAGTTAAATGAATAAACGAGGTAAGTTCCTAGAGAAACTGTTGTGCTGCGTTGATGGAAGGTATTACAAAATAATTTAATTTCATCAGCGGCGTTGATAATGTAAATTGTTCTGATTGATCGTTCCAATAACTCTACTTTTCATTTTTCGACACTCCATCAAAACCCGTTCTAAGAGAAACTACCTTCTCTCTGATAAGACCCTTGATTTATTTGCTCGTTGAACGACAGCTCAATCCGCTCTGGATACACGTATCGAAATCTCTCTCGAGGCTCCTTACTTCTTTTATCATGCTTAGGTTGATTGGTTTCTGTAAATGAATGAAAAATGAAACTTTAATACAAATCTGACATGACCGAAAATAACACATCACTTAAAATCATATCCCTTCAAAAGATGTTTTCAAATCAAATATTACGGAGGTATGCCTAACAGAAGATAGCTAAAAGGAAACCTAAAGAAAGTAAGGAGGACAATTCTTTTTTAGAGCATGCATTATGGGTAGAGCAAGCCTTCACAGAATCTTTTGTTAACATAGGTAAATATTAGAGAGGGAACAAGAAAAGAAAAAGGGGAGATGATTGTTAAAGATGGTATTGATTGATACATATTGCAAATAACGAACCTGAATAATCTTTGGTACTTTCCTACGAGCCTAGGAACCGTGATTCCATTCACGTAAGACAAGTCGACTGAAAGGGCTAAGGGTTAGGTTGGGGATTTGAGGAATATATATGATGGAGATTTCTTAATAAAGCTGAAACTGAGAAGTAACTATATTTCTTCGACAAATAGTATTCTGTACCCGGTATCGTGGAAGCCTTAGACGTCAGCAACGGCATCGGCAGCAACAACAAAACAAAAGCAACAACAACAAAGCAAAAACAGCAATAACAATTCAGGAAAAATTCTGACACTGACTTCTAATGTCATGCTCAGAGGAGGCTCGCTCCAATCCATCAAGGTCAATTCCCGAGGCCTGGCTGTAGTCTCTGCAGCTTACTGACCGTCGTCTGGTCGGGACCTGGTTCTTAAAGTCAAGCGGGATTTTGCGCTTTTTCTTTTGCACTGAGCCCACACTATTGTAGCGACGAAACTCCTTGCTGAGACCTGAAAAAAGATTGGTAATTTTCGTTGGAACCAAGACAGGACCAGTTCTTAAGGCTTATTCCTTGATTCATCAATCTTAGACTATCTTTAAATCATCCCCAAATTCTGACATCCAGCAAGACTGAAAATAGGGTGTGGCCGATGGGTGCACGTCCTCCCATCCTACCTTTGTCATAACAAAGTGGAAAATCGGATACAACCACAAACAACCTTACGTGCCCCGAACGACAAATACTACGCTATTGGAGCACTCTCAGTCGAGAACTTCCTGCCCATGTCCCGCCATGTGCGTAGTGCAAAGTGGCTAGAATAATTTTCTCAGTGCAACACTAAAAACTTTACCTCCATCGTCTTCAAGAGCGTGGTTGATGTAGGACGTTTTGGTTTTGGGTGAGCACAGAGACGAATGCAGAGAAGGAATACGTCCAATCTTCAGCTTGACAGTTCCGTAAGCGCGCTAAGTAGGATTAAAACGAAATATGATCATCCTGATACAATCTTTGAACGCAATAAAATGTTTTTATTGTTCATCGCGATTAACCCTTATGCAGTCTAATAAAAGCTCTCAGTAAAGTGTCCCAAGACCCGCTATAGTTAATGAAAATATATGACTTTTTATATAACTTATTACTATTATTATGACCAACTTACGCCACTTGAGTCTTAGAGTCATTAACATCATAGCTTAACTGACCAATCAGTTTACCGCACTTAGTACATTCGACTGAGAACGATTATTCACTTGACTCGGATGATAACTTTCACTCAGGTTGTAGAAATGTCAGTCACTATTATCGACAACGGTACCTCTCAGGACTACACTCACTGGGACGATCATACTATACCATCACTATTATTAGTATTAAAAGAAAAAATCTTTCAGATAGAACTTTCGTAGTGGTCTCAAACTTTTGCATGCCTAGCTCTCAAGGTGCCCGTCTCAACCCAGTGGTATAAATGATTCTCATGTAACTTTTAATGATGTGGGATAAAAAGCGATGTACATCCCATACAACAGAAATGGCTATACTCTGAACAAACCATACCACAGAAACCAGGATAAGCTAAAACAACCTTCCAAATCAGTCTCGTAAGCAGATTTTATTTTCCATATTTAGTCTGAGTACCAGGCCTTCCAGTGGAAGGGGAAGTGGAGACAAACGAGAGCATGAGGAAGGGCTTTTCTACTTTTTCTCTCCCCCATCCCCCCCCACTCCCCTTGGAAAGACTGGTACTCACGCTACACCATGTTCGGAGCTAACAGTTTTCTTCTGACCTGTAAAACTTTACAGGCCTCTTCTTGTGTTGTTTTCTTAAGATTCACACCGTTCACCTCCAGAATCCTGTCCCCCTGATGGATCGATCCCTCTTTGTATGCAATGCTGTCCTCTGACTGAAATAAGAGAACAATAACATGATTTAAATAACCTTGTGCCATTTCAGAGTATCAGGGCTTGTGAATTGTGAGGTCATGCAGATCTTGTAAATCGTCTCCCAAGTCCGGCCCGTCAGGGACCAGTTTTTTGTCTATCGCAAGGGGGGAGTTTGCAATCACATGGTTTTCAGGGTGGACCCGAGGCGGATTAGTCCTTGCCAACAGAGTATAGAGGTGGGACTAGAGAAAATTGACTGTCTATTAACTGCCAATGAGGGGGAATCTAACAAATACGACAGATCCTTACACAGGGGATAAGGTAAATTTTATCAAGACAATAAAAATGTCACTTACCACATAACTAACAAATACACCTTTCTTATCCCTGTAATTATGACCAGGAGAGAAAAAAATAACGACTGTGAAACCAAATGATAAATTTTTATTCTGTTACAGTTGAAACAAATTCGTGCACTGAGTCTTTTGTAAACTGCACACAGTCTTCATTTTTAAAAATGTGAATCAGGGTCACTTCGATCGTGGAGATAAAGAGAAAGAGAGCAAATCTTTGCCAAATTATATATTTCATTTAGATTATGTGATTTCTTCGTTGCTATTAATTTACGTAATATCATTATCAAAACACCATAATGTATGGTAGAAGATATGGTTAAATTATTTGGAAACTTACTTTCTCCCGAGAATGCTTAGTCCCAAGTATTCAGTGAAGGATTTCACCAAATTCACTTCAAAGATGGTCGATGGTTCTATTTTTGACAGAAGGAGATTTAACAATCCTCTGGTCAACAAAAGGGGTATACGCAACAACACTTTGATAATCTATTATTCATCATCTGTTTTGAAAATCATTGAGTTTGTTTAAAAGGATTTGTTGAATATTACGACAACTTATTACCTTCGATTGAAGTGAAAATCTTCTCGGGATCCTCTCGCAAGATGGTTAGACTTACTGGAGATGGAGCTAACCTCAGAGCAGAGACCACATTTTTATGGTTCATTTGCTGCAGGTTTTCACCATTTACCTAAAGACATAAGACAGTTGTTGCTAGTCCCTAGGATCTATCTAATCTAATCATAGCCTTGACTACGTAACGTAGCTCTTTGAGGGGATTCTTCACTAAGCTTTATTCTGTCTCGTTAACATACCATAATAATTTGGTCTCCGACTGCAATTCTTCCATCCTTAGCTGCCGCGCCTCCAGGTTCAATCACGTTTATGACCACACCTCCCTAAAAATGATGAATCCACAACATTAGCGTTCAGTATTTTAATCGTACGTGAACATGACACACCATATATGATCCTGAATGGACCTGGAGCTCTCGCATCGTTCTTTCGCTGCTTATGCACTTTATACTTTTGCAGCAGTACGTGCTTATCAAAATTTGAGTCACTGAATGACCTGCTACAAAATTGAGTCAGCGTCTGGTTAATTTTGCAAACAATAAGATCATTAATGAACAATTTGTGGGCTTGTCTCCAAATTCTAAAAATGAATTTTGAAAAACATAGATGGCACGTGGGGCATGATTTCAAACGCGAGCTTGCTGAGTTTCTTCTTAACTAAAATGAAAACGAGTAATAATCATGAACTTCCTCTAATAACTCTCATACCAGATATGTGTCGGATCCACCAACAACTCCTAAACCGAGTCCCGTAGTTTCTTTTTCTATGGTTATGGTAGTCTCGACAAATTCCTTTATTTGTGCCGTGTATCCTAGTGGAGAGGAAAGCAGTTCCACTTCGATCCTTAATAGAAAATCATCCAAAATAACTTCATACTTTTATTTCAAGACAGGGACGGCAAAGCGTTTTGAAATCAGGGCACTCATCCTCAAACGACTTAAGCCTTAAACGACTTAAGCCTTTAACCCACTAACATTTCCCAAAGTGTGTTTTACATAGTTCGTAGGCTAAGGAAAGCCTCTCTGAAATCTTAAAAGTGTTAAGTCTGTCTATATAACAGACCAGGAATATCTTTTCGCCAAGTGCTATCCTGATGGAATATTCAAAGCATGAATGTTTTCCCAAACTAAGTTTATACCGTGTCAACTATATTCGACGTAACGAAACGTGGGAGGTTACTCTCCCCCAATTTCCGTTTTACGGGGAAGGAGCTGCAGACTTTGATATTGACCGTTTTCATAAACAGTTTGGACTGCAACAGATTGTACTCGATAGCTGTCCGAAAGTTCAATACATGCAAACTATTCAATTAGACCTACTGTGTCAACTTTAGAAGTTGGAAATAAATTAGCTCTATAATTTTTCCAATGCTATTGCAAGGAACTTAGATATCGTCAGCTATGATAACAATAGATGGTAGAAATTGCCAAGAAATGATGTTTTACCTCGAGACGAAGCCGTTTCAACTTTAGTTGTTTTTTCAGACACAGGAGGCATTGGAATTCGTTCACAGAATTTTAACATGCGGAGCGCACAATTCAACTCAGTTTTCTCCCAACCTCCGGACAATGGCGTTGCTCCTCAGTTAGCTGAATATTCGTCGATCGAACCCGGCCTGTGTTGTTGGTTAAGTCCTACGATAATCAGCTTTGCTTGATTTGCTGAACTTTAAAGGGTGTCAAAGCTAATATATTTAAATCTTATCTACAAAGGCATGCATATTTTGAATTATCATTTCATTTTGTTTGAACAACCTGAATAGATTTTCCTTTTAAATGAATTAATCATAGTTAGCTGTCCGCATATCTGCAGTTCTTTTGTTTACTTTACTAACTCCTGTAAGCCTTTGGTACATACTGCATTACTCACAGACACACCACAAACCTTGCCTGTCTTAAATACTTTAAAGTTGATTAACTACTCTATAAAATGGGGTCAGCGATTGCAAAAAGAAGGGGGAGGGGAGAGAAGGGGAGATTCGTCCGTTCGTCCCGAGTTATGCAGAAAATTAATCATCTCGCATTTACCGGTTTTAATGCTTTTCCTATCTCGGTCTTTTTTTCATTGCTTCCTTTTGCTTTGTTTTGGTATTGATACTTAACTTTTGTCTGTTTATGTTATTTTTTTCTTAAGGTTAGTGACTGGAAAAGGAACAGAGATCTTTGAATATTCGGCGTGAAACTAAAAGACCAGTATGTTTTGTCTTTGTCTGCACCAACTGGTTGCTTTAAGGCACTGTTCTCTAGTTTATTCTTGGGTTAAAAACAAACAATTCTTAAATGATATACCCTGATCGTTTGTCTCAAGGTCGTAAAATGAATTATTATACTTCGCCATGATGAAGAACTTCAACTCTTTCCATAAGAAAATAATTCATTTGTGTCTCATTCATTTACGTGGTAGTTGATGTAAAAGCCAGATTAACCGATCATTGAACTGGTTACCAATTAAATCCACATCTTCAAATTTTATTCGGCTCAACTCAAAGCTACAGTCTTAAATCTGACGATTTTTCTTTTCATAAAATTTAAAATATATATTAAAATAATTAAACATAATTAAAAGAAAACTTATTTTTACTCACTTCCGGAACAATTTGGGCAAAAGGAACATCAGTTTAGCATTTTTCCTGTTGATCTCAACTGTTTACATAATTTGAATTACGGCTCTGACAAATGCATATCCGCGAATTTTAAGTTTCGCAGTTTAAGGCAAAGCTTCAGTGTTTCTATTACATTTTTGCGCTCTTCCATAATGACGTTTAAAATAAAACTGGTTTGTCTATTTATATTTGTTAGCACTTAAAGAGGCAGTTTTGCTGCAGAGACATCTTTTCGACCAATAGAAATGCAAACTGTTGTGTTGCATGTAAATTAAAGCCGAAAATCTGCAGTAAATGTTGACCATTAATTTTGGTGACCAAACCGTATCATAATTGCCAGGAGTCCAGGTGACAATATACCTCGCCTTTTTAAAATTCATTTCCGAATCTACACTTCTGATCTGTTGTTCCAATGCATCTCATGCGGCGCATATTTTTGCCAATAGTCCTTGTGACTATCTATAGTCGGAACTTATGTGGACATTTCACCGTTCAAAACAGTCTATTCACTGGGCATGTGGTTAAAACTCTTTATGGTATCAACTGGCTTCAGTGTATTGAAGAGTGTCAAAAACTTACAAATTGCATCTCATATAACTTTTTTCTGCCTGGAAAAATCTGTGAGCTTAACGATTGGGGTTTGGTAGATCGCTGTGATGATGAAAAGAGTCTTATCAAGGATTCTGGATGGATTTTTCACGAAATGGTTTCTTTTGAGGTAAAATAAATTAGCATTTCGAATACGAGAGTTATCTCTCACTTGGTTTGCTCTAGCCGATCACCAGCGATTGACGAATTCAAAAGTCCAATATTTCTTTTTCTTTGGGCGTAAAATGGATAATTTTATCGATGCTACTTACTTTATGTCTTTTTGACCGCTTAATGCATACAAAAAATATCGCGGGCAAGGAAAGATGTTTTTAAGACAGCTGTCACAAATGCTTGAATTTACCATTAGAATATCTAATTGTTGCTCTCGATCGCCACACGAGGCTCCTTCTACATTGCTGTTGCTAACAGTATATGCAAGAAAATTTCTTACGTATGAAGCCCAGTCATGGTTTAGTTTACCATAGAGTCATCTGCGCTCCAGTTGGTATCTGACCACACATTAAGATCAAACTGAATGTTCTCGAAGGACTCAGAGTTCATCTCTGTTCACGTTCGTGGAAAATGTTTGACACGTTTCTTTACAGTCTCTTTGCATTTACAATTTGTTAATTCTGCAGTTTTTTTATTTACATACTATCATTCAACTCCATGCAACCTTGAAAACTCACCAGTCAAAAAAATTACAATTAATATACTTCGCGAGCGCAGTGGTAAACAATGCAAAATTACCGTTGACCCACTGAAAATAATTTTTTTGATTGCGCAGTTTAAGTCAAACAAATGAACCCGAATCTACAACTGAAGCTTAAGACGCCAAATGTGATTCAACATTAAAACATAGAAGAATAACTTTTAGTTAAAGCTTTCTTTATTCAATTTTCGCTCTTATAAGCTTAATTATTATTAGACCTTTATGTAACTCTGCTCTTTTAGTCCCAAGCCGGCAATGTATATTAGTGCAGTTTGCTCCCATATTTTGCGCGCGCTTGTAACCACGAAATAAGGCAAAATGACGTTCAAAGTTAAGCATCAGCAAATGTTTTGTCATTTTATTTTTTTTATCAGATTTGAATATTGCGGTGAAGCTAGGTTGCAAGGAAAGAGTCAGCACCCAGTTTTTGGTGATTATTTCGAACGAAATTTAAAATAAAAGCAATAATCTTTCTCACCTCAATGCGAGATAAGCTTGATTTTTGTTCACCACTTTTCTTGAAAAAATAAAAATAAAAAAAAGTAAGTTTTGACCTCGGGGTAATACGACTCCTTTAAATCAGATTATAACCTGGTCGTTTCGATACGTTGTTACTCTTAAGCAAATTAAAACCAAAGCAAAAATTAAAAATTAAAACAATTTAGGTCTAATTGATGAGGTCTGAACCCATTTAAACCAGATGTCACTTGGGTGCTATTACTGAACTGAGCTGCGAATCCACAAATTCAGAGCAAGAAAAATCACAGCGGGTCTGGATTCGTTCCCTGTAAAGAAATACTGTCTATAATAATGTTGTTATGAACGATTTTTGACTTGGTCCAACTAAACTTTCACCCTTGACTTGCAGGCGAGGTTATCACACATAAAACCAAGTAAAGGTGAGGAACCGTTAAGATTAAGCGAAAGAGCTCGTAACAAAAGCGCCGGAAAGATATTTTCATTTATTCGAAGACCGCGGAAAATTTGCCATCTTTCTTACAGTATTAACGCACGGAATTTCGTACAAGATATTTTTTAGCTTTGTGGATAAATTTCAGGACGCATCTAAATTATCTTCACCATCACAAACACTGTCAAGCATTTCCCATACCCTTTTTTAATAATACATCGGCAAAGGGGAAAAATTCTGCTCACAAAATTGCTACCGGAGTGGTCAAATTTAAGCTAGAACTCCTAAGAACTTCTTGTTCGGTCTTCCTTCTTGTTGCTTAAATATCCCCGTAAATTTGCCAAAAGAATTGGTATGGTTACAAGTTTGTTCATTGGCTGCCCCTGTGTGACCTTGAGAACATATTGCTGAAAAAAAGACAAACCAACTAGCTCACAAACCAGCCAAAAAGAAGAAAAATAACTAGTTGCAAAAAAGATATTATACATCATCCACAGAGGCCTCGATGAAGAGTCAAAGAGACAACGTTTGTATTAAAATTATTTCCACGCGCTCTCTCAGAAAATACAGTCGTTTCACACACTACTTACACCTTTGCCACTACTTCTAGATCTCATTGCATTGTTTACCTGTGATGGTACCATGGAAATGTTTATCGATGGTAAAAGTCTTGGGGAACACCATTGTGATTGGAAAAAGATTAAACAGTTCCTTATCCCAGGATTTACAAAAGTTGTGTCAGTTAAAGGAATGAGCGCGTCTTTGGATTCTGGAATACTTGGTTCATTCAGCAACGGCTTGGTAACCAATGAAAGCTGGAAATGTAGTCTTCATTGGTTCCCCGGATGGAGTTCCCCGGATTTTGATGACAGTCCGTGGTCAGCGGCCGTGGTGGTCGCAAAACACGGTAATATCACAGGTATCGACCCAGCAGCCAAGTGGATATGGACAAATCCAAGAGGATTTGATGAAGCTTATTGCAGGCTAAGCCTACGCTGAACGCAAAACCGTTTATCTTAGAGACAGGTCATTTTTTTATCACCAAGGGGGGGTTAACCTAAGGCTCTGTCACATTCTCACAATCCCCTTCATTTACAATTAATTGGCAGTCGATTTTCAATATCACGGTCACCCCTCTTAATACTCTGAAGGCCACGACTGATTCCCTCCCATTACCGTACGTTAAAAACCATGTAATCCCCCCTGAAAAAAATTTTCCACCCCGCAATCCCCCCCTGACGTGTGTGAAAATAATTCTCAACGAAATCTGTCGTCAACTTGTAACCATATATTCCAGTTTGTCTTTTTTGAATGAGCCATATGCACGTTTACTTAAGAACACCTAATCTTTCTCTCAAGTCTTGATTTCGTGTACGCACACGAGAAATTTAAGGGAAAGTTATTCCATAACCGGCTAAGATAAATAATATGTCTGTGGAAAAACGAGGTGGCACAGGAAAAAAAAACGACAAAAGAAAAATAGGGGTGAATTTTTAACAATTGACGTCATCGTAGACATGTCACATTTTACATAATCCGTACAAATAAAGTCAAACTGGCTGACAGAGCAATAAAAAAGAGTGATCTTTACTTACCATGAAGTAAAAAGAGCGTGCCGAAAAAAATCATGCCGGAAAATTAAAGTCGTGCCGGAAAACTAAAGTCGTACCGCAAAATTAAAATCATCTTGCCAGAAAATTGAAGTCGTACCGGAAAATTAAAGTCGTGCCGAGAAAAAAAACTGAGACGGTGAAAAAATTTGATGAAAAACGTGAGATGGTACTTACTGGGCTCCGTTTTCCCTCCCACGGTAACAGTTCAATTGAAGGATTTGTAAAATACCGCCCATTAACACATTAAGTGAAAATTTGATAAAATGTTGTAATTTTTAAAGGAGACTTAATCCTGTTGTGCAACAGCGACACCAAGGCAATTATCCGCATCTTTTTACCGTCATCCCGTCAATTAATTATTTAAGCATCTCTTCCGCTTTTAGCGCCAAAAGGAACATCTGTTATCAGCGTGAAACAAGCCTCATTGCAATTGGTTATTGGTGATGATAACCCATCCTTTATCATGATTTTCTTGCTGAAACGCATATCAGGCCGGAACATCAAAACCAAACTCCTCAAAAACATCTTTCCAAAGTCTGAGCGTCGTTTGTAGGAAGTCTTCATAGCCGTTACTCTAACGATGGGAAAAATATGATCAGTTCATACATTGGGATTTATTATTTGATTCAAGAGTACTAAAGAATTTTCGTGTACGCTCAACAAAGAATATGGGGGTTTTAGACATACTAACATATGTTGGTCTCTCTGTCTCGAGTTTCAGTTTTCTGTTGGTCTTAGTGACTTACTCACTTTTTAAACAGCTTCGAACTTTACCCGGAATCAACTTGATGAATTTCTCTATGGCACATTTGTTGGCAGACCTACTTTTCCTTCTAGCAGGCAGTGCAACGAAGCTCACATGTACAATAATCGCCATTTTAATGCATTATTTCTTTCTAGCGTCCTTCACCTGGATGTCATTCATCGCGTTTGAAACGTGGCGAACTTTTTCCACAATCTGCATACAGCGCAGAAATCTGACCAGAAGTGAAAAGTGTCTTAGTTTAATGCGAAGAATTGCAGTGGGATGGCTTCCTGCTTTTGCTGTTGTGGCAGTGTGTGTAGCACTTCACCTGTTCGACGATGATACGTTTCTTTACGGCGCCCGCGCTACTTCGAGCAAATTCTGCTGGATAAACAATCCAACTGCGCTATTGTTCGCGTTCGCTCTGCCAGTATTTATTGCCATATTGTTTAACATTGTACTCTTTTCCTTGACTGTGATAGCTATACGAAAAACAAACCGTCAACTGAGAGAAGCAACATACCATGCAAAAAACCGCATAACTGCGGCTGTGTTCGTTAAGATTTTCAGTTTGATGGGCTTCACATGGATTTTTGGCTTATTGATACCGTTACACAGAAGCTTTGAATACCCATTTGTCATATTTACCACTTTCATGGGACTGTATGTAGCGCTGGCGTTTGTGTTTACGCCAAAAATCATGAGTTTATATCGCGCCATGCTGTGCGCTAATAAAACTGAGGTGGTTCCTATTGGAGCTGAAGTAAATAACAGCGCCCCTAAACATGAAAGGCAAAAAACTCATGAATGACTAGATTTATGATTTACAAAAACATAGCAAACAAAGCAGAAATTCCGTGCATTACTATTTCCCTGCTTTACGCTGTAAAAAATTCACCTATGGTAATATAACGAAAAGGCAAAATTAGTCGTTCAAAAATGTAAAATGGTGTTACTTAAAATGGAATAAAGCACACCGACCATTAGTAAAACGGACTCTTTCTCGTTTTTTGTTGTCACCATAAATTATTACCTTTTTTATCGGGTATGGATACGAAAAAGTAAAAGCTAAGTGGAAAGAGAAGCGGAAAATAGGTTAGCGTGCTCCTTGCCGGTCCATCTGTAGACGGAACACATTTGACGAAACGACGTAATTATCTGCTTAGGCCAGAAGGGGAAAATATAAAGATCCGACCAGCTCAACAATGATTCTCCTTGAATGATTTTAAAGCCATTCGTAGGTTCGATAAGCTGATTTTCAACTCTCTCACTACCTATCCGAGAGATTTCTTCCTCCCTCCATTACGCAATGACTCTAGATGCATCACTTCAATTTATTTCTAAGGAATATCGGAGGATTTTTCGAAGACATACCATCGGAGTTTTCGTTTGCATTACTCTGCTATATGGAACGACTTTAAAATTTCAGCGCTACGTGATCTGATCGTTATGGCTTTTTAGTTATTCGTGCTGCAAAGTGATATTCAAATATGCGAATAAAATAGATAAATAAAGAAGCCGTCATTTGGCCGGAATGATCGTGTGTTTTTTTATGATACTTCCTTAGTTTAAATTTTCGATTTAGAAAGATCGTCTTGCTCGTTAAAACGGAATGCTTAGGATACAATTTCTTTCATTTCTCCAAGTTTGTAGAGAACTAATTAGAGATCCCATGAAATATTTTCCTTTGCTGTTGTTGGCTGTCAAGACTTCTGTGTTTTTTTTTTTTTTTTTTTTTTTTTTTAATGACACTCGATCGAGTAATGCTCTAAGTTTTATTTGTTCATCGCAGCTGCTGACTTTTGACCCCGGCAATACATTCATAAATTAAAGCCGTGATCACAACGATCGGATCCTTGTTAACTGTATGTACACACCATCCGAAAAGATTCGTCCCAACGAGAGAACCCGGCATTTATAGAGTGATCCACATTAAGCACTTTAAGTTCAGTTGACAAGATGCAAAATTCCGTCTTCTCTCAGAACCAATCAGATCTTGTTATTTGCCGAAAATTTGGCGTCTGCTTGCATTTACATATTAGTTTTGAAATAAAGACTCGAGCAAAATACGTAATCCTCGTCAGTTTTACTCTTCATAAAGGGAAAAACAAATTGTCGTCGTTTTCACAATGATTTCGACGCCTTTGAATCTGAAAGAGTACAGGTAATCTTGTTGAGAACATTTGAAAATAAATTCATTGCGGTCCTACAGCTAGAACGAATTTCCAGTAAACAGATGGGAACATCTTGTAAAAGGAAGATTCATACGACTCGCTGGGTAACAAACAGTATAGATGACAAAGGATGGAAACAAAGAGCACCCAGTCTGTTATTTCAATTCCTATTAGCTATGGGTGCCCGTCAGTCGTACCAAAACTGTTATTTATTTTGTGAAGCTAGAATTCTTATTCTACCAGTTTGCATTCAGGGGAGGGAACATGAAAGCATGGAAGAACCTATAAAAAATATTCAGCATCTTAGAGCCTTATTTCTGTTCCCCATTAAAAATCAAATGCCTAATTATAACTGAAATTTAAATATTAATGGGGTATTCTGAATTTTTTTTGAAAAATTTGTTTTAGGCCTGCCCTGCAGTGAGTGTAGATTTTATTTCAAAGAAGTAATAGGGAAAAATATAAAATATAAACGATTATATACTATATATTTATTGATTTTCATTCACATCTTAAAAAAATATCAAGAAGCAGAGAGTAAACAATTCACGCAAATTCAAAGTATAAGAGCGTGACATGTTGTATCGTAAAAGAAAATTCTTATCGGTTATAATCTTCTTAAAATCCTCCGATATTACTCAGATTTAATTGGAGGATATTTAGTAACGTACTTAAATGTAAAGTTAAATAATAGATTGATTGCATGAGAGAACAGAGTCAGCTTTGTGAACCAAGGAGATTGTGGCAAAGGGTATACACGTGACGCCATAGTAAAGCGATGACGATCTATATAAGGGGGTTTTTTTATTAAAATTGTGCTGTAGTTTTATACAAGGGTGTGCTCCCAGCTACTGATAATGATCCTTATTGCTTTACGCGAAAATTTTTTTAATGGAATATTCATGAAAGAACGAATATGTTAACCTCACGTACACAGAATTTTAATTAACACTTTTAGTGTGAATGTTTTGAATGGAATATTTCATAAACCAACCGGCTGATTCAAAATTTTACAAAATGAAAGGTTTAAGTGCTGAGAAAACGTTAGATTGGTCAGGTGGAATTGAAATCATCGTCAAACATCGTATAATAGGCTGTGGCCCGCCATCGCAGTACCTTAACACTTTCAAAAGAGAAGTAATGATCGTTTGTCTTACGATGTGGTCACTGCGGTTATGGATCGCGACGTTTCCAGTTGATTAGATACTAGTTGATCGAATCTTTTTCGAGTAAAGCTTCTTAGCTTTAAGGATTATACGCTGCCTCGTCCCAGATGTCTCCCACGCACCTAGTCTGATCACTGTGGATCATCGAAGTATGTGTGAAGGTGGAGGACAGGTGCAAAGCGCACATCGAGAAAATCAATATCGTATTAAAAGGATCTCCAAAGAAGACCATATTTGCACTTCCAGATGTTGGTTGTCGAGTTCGTATTTTCCAGATTCGTAATACTTAACTGTTTGACTTACCGAAAAAAGAGTCTTCTACGAAATGTGTGTCACTGAGAGTTGTGGTTTTGGCCTGACGAAATCTTGTCGAAGTGCACGCGTACGATCACAGGTATAGTCACTCCGCTTTATGCTGTGTTGACGATTCCTTTCCCACCTTCCGTTCCCCAGAAAATTATCCGACCCTCACCCAGGCGATAAATAAGAAATAGTTCCTTCCTGAGGGATACAAGCCGTTTTACTGACTGATTCACGTACTCAAGTCCATATGTACCTTGATGGCATGTGATAAAATCGTCAGCGAGACTTAGAAGCCTTGTTGATTGAATTTTGATGAGGGTTTTAGACTTGCAAACAAGATGGGATCATTAAGAACCAATCAGATTTATGTAAACAAAAAGAAAGGACTTCCCCTCGAACCTGAGTAACATAATCATAAATCGAAGATTTACACAAAGGAAATTCTTAAACTTCTCTGTTCGCTGCGGTATCCGTCTCTGATGGGGATCAAAAGAATTATCATACTTGTGTTTTTTCAGTTCATCATCCATCTCAGCGCTTTGGCTTCCGATGAAGGATGTAACACCAATTGTTCAGCATACTTTTTGACCAAAGAGAACAAGAGACTTACGGGCTTTGTCGTGCAACGCTTCGAGTCTCAAAGTTTGTTATCATGCAGTTTGACATGTTTGCAGCAATCATGGTGTACCTCTATAAACTTCAAGCTGATTTCACTTGATGCCAAGGGGATCTGTGAATTGAATAAATCGGATTTTGATAGTGACACATGGAGCAACCTAAATGCCGTCCCAGGAGTCATTTTCTCAAAGCTCTTAAAGGTAATCTAAAAATGTGAGAAAGTATAGCACTGTAAAGAAACTGTGGTGCTGCATCGGAGGGAGGTGTTACAAGATAATAAGGTTTTACTAACTGAGTTGATGATGTAAACTGGCCAACGTAACTTTAGAGAGCTTCACGGTGACCAATTTACATCATGAACTCAGATGATAAAGCCAAATTACTTCATCTGTTAGAACGTTTATCAGGTGATCTTCTTGTATGGCATAGCTCTTTAACCATTCCTCTGTTGCTCAGTTGGTAATGACTTCGAAAACGAAACCAGAAATGCTTGATTGGTTTCCGGATCTTCAACTGAACTTTCTTTTTCATGTTTTGCGCGCTGGTAACAAATGTTCAACATCTTCCTTTCTTAAATTGCGCGCATATTTTTGCCACAGGCTCACGAAAAAATCAGGTAGTGTTTGGAAAAGAAGAAAAGCTGTCCAAATACTTGATGGCAAACCAGTGTTTTTACAGCTTTATTGAATTTACAAAACCTAACATATAAAAGTTACGCTCACAAAGTCCTTTTATAAAAAAAAAACAATAAGTTAGCTAGCTGTTAATTTTGTTCTGTCAGAAAATCTTTTCTCAATCACTAATTCTCGAATACATTAACACTTGCTACGCAACGGCGGTATTAGCTTACAGTTTTTTTGGTTTTTTCGTGCATTCGTTGTCAAATCTTTGAATCTCTTTTTGATAAATCAACTCTAATACAGGACAATGAAGCACGGTCGGATTCATTCCGTGTGCACTGAAGACGTTTGCACTATTCCTACATGAGCAATAATGAAAATGGTCACCTTACATGTACTTTATAATTCATTTATAAATGTGCAACAGAAATCACTCGAATTTGTACATAATAATTTGGTTTTGTCAGAAAGTGCATAACGCTTACGTTGGCTTAAAAGCCTCTCTTTGGTGGCCAGTTCACATCATTTAATCAGTTGCTAAACACAGATTATCTCGTTATACTCCTCCACAGACGCAGCACCAAAGTTTCTTTAGAGACTCGTCTCCTTTATTAGTTTGTACACGTGATGGTTTCAGACTGTGATTACCCCTAGAGCTTCCAGCACCAATAAAAATTTTAAAGGCCTCTCACGTTAGTACTGATAAAGGAAAAAAAACATTTGTCATAGTATCTCACTCATCAAATTTCTTTCACCATATCTTGTAAACTTGACAGATTTATGCCAGTTGGTTAAACAGTTTTCATTTGGTAGCGACATGAAAGAAATCTTTAACGTTTCGTCGAATATTCTGTTACATCGGTTTATTTCATTCCTTAGTTTAAAAAATTTTCCTAAACCATCATGGATCTGTTTATTGATGTGTTCGATTACTAACTTTTTCATGATACCTAACCCGTTTAATTTTGTTTTGGATCTCGTTTTTGTTTCCATGTATCAAATCAATTTTTTATATTTTATATTGCCTGCCTTGATGTATTGAATTAAAGAATACTGGTTAACAATCCTCATAAAAAGGAGACAAATCAATGTGAAAAAAAAAGATTAGGATATGATTTTCCATTACCTATCGGTCTGTACATCTTTCTAAATCTAAAGCTAATTTTCAAAATCTTATGTAGATGTTAAATTTTGGTGCATTTTCGGAATTAAACCTTAAACAAGGGCTTAATATTTTTTTAAAATGATCACTCAACCATTTATTAATGGCTATCAAATGACTCACTTGCAGGACTCGGCTGACAGAGGAGGAATAAGCAGACCACCGACACCGAAAGAAAGTGAGTGACTGGTAACTATCTCTTATGTAACAGATTTCTCACTTACATTGTTAAAAGATGAAAATGAATTTTCATCCGAAGGTTTGCACTGATAACTGCACCTGTCTCGAAGAATATGATGAGGTAGTAATCCTCTTTAACCCTTACGCCTCATCGTGAACATAAACAAAAAAATCTGCGCGCTGATCTTTATGTATTTTTTCATAACAACGGGCGTAGTGAATATTTGTATTATTTATAAGTTCGAGGCAATTTTTATGCTCGTAGTATGTGTGTGTGTAGCGGGATTGTGCTACAGAAGGCTTAAAATAATCCCCCGAGTTAAAGAAATTCCCAAACTATGCTTCTTTTTTAAGACTGTTTTACTAGTCCTGGCAGTTTGCTCCACGAGTGTAACGTAAGACCCTAATAATAGCCCAATTCTCTTTAGACTGCATGTTAGTTGTAGAGCATCGGAGCGTGGAGTATGAAGATTTCGAGTTCGTTTCCTGTACGAGCTCACACTTTTCTCTTTGTTTCACGCTCGAGACGGATAAAATCTTTCCTTCTATCACTTATAAGTTTAAAAAATACACTATGTAACTCATCTTATCGTAAAAATTATTGCATATTTACCCTAAGGAGTATCGTCTTCCATTACTTCAAGTTTGTACAGATTTCCATGCACTAAAACTGTCCAGTTGCACAATTTCTACCATAATATTGAAGATACGATGAATGCTACCATTATATTTTCCTCGGGGCGCTTTTTTTGGCTTTAATATACCATTTATCAAATTATCATCATTGTTATTATGGCCAAATCCAAAATATGAGCTATCAAGTGATAACGACCCCTAGCTGCTTATATCATTTTCTCTTTCCCACTTGCCACAGACATCACTCTTCATTTCACATGCTTGGGTTTCATGGATTTGTTTGCTGATGGTGTAAGCATTGGCAGGCACAAAAGTGATGATCCAGGGAGTCCCACAAAATTTGTCATTCCAGGAAATACACGTGTTGTTTCGGTGGTAGCTAAGACCCAAAAGTTCAAGCGTGCCGGAATTCTCGGCTCCCTTAGCAACGGACTGGTAACTAATTCAAGCTGGAAATGCAGTGACAGTCCGTTTCCCGGATGTAAATGGATGATGCAGGATTTTGATGACCGAATGTGGCCGACAGCCAAAGAGATAGTATTTCACGGGCCAAATCGGCCTACTCCAGTTCCTGGTATAGTCCAGGGTGCTAAGTGGATATGGATTGCAACAGGCTCTGGTCATTTGCCACAGCCCCCTATCGCCTATTGCAGACTAAATATGTCATAAATCATCGTTAATAGTATTGTGGATAACAGATATTTTTTTCTATGGCAAATTTGGACTTGAAACCAAGTGGTGCCTTATTTCGTTGGTAGCGCTCCTCTGTTTAGAAACGAAATCATTTTCTTCTGTCTTTAACCTCTAAGATTGATAAGCAACTAATACATAATTTCTCTCGAGAGTATCACCTCCAAATCAAACGTTATGGTAAGGTCGAGAGAATAGAGGAAATTATTGCAAACCAAAGAAGCCCCTGATTGTTAGACAAATTTTTCATGTAAGTACCATAGGAAATGTAGAAATAACTGTCTGAAGAACAAGCTTACTAATGTTAGGGTGTAATGGCCGGGTTTATAGATAGATAAAATTTGGAAATGACTGCCACCTTATTAACAGAGAGTAAAGTTATTTAAGCATGTGCGGTAAATAGCAAAATTTTACCACATGCATGCCATAGCGTAGTTCGTACATAAATGGAGTTTTTTCTTAAGGAGAATAAAATATATGAGCGCCGATGAAGATTTAAAACCACGTGATCATGACCCTCGCATCTTCAATTTAGGCCTTGTGTGATTCTTACCCAATATAACGTGGAAAATTGTTCAGTTACGTAGATGTCTTTGACTTTTAACCCCATGAATGGTCAAGACAGTTTTTTTCCTTACATTATCAATACAATACCAAGCAGACAAGCGATGAGAACAAATGAAATTATCAGTTAAGGGACTATTAGTTTATATTAGTGACATCATAAAAACTATATGGCAAAGAGTGAAAGCGTTAATGTTTTTTTTTTATTATTATTATTCCAGCCGTCACAAAGATTTGATTGGGATTCATTAAGTAAAGTAAAGCTTTTATACAAGCCCAAGTGGCCCATGGGGTCGGGGCTTAACTCCGGTTTCCTTAGCATGAAGTGGTTAGGAGTATTGCTACTCCCCCCTGGATGGGATGCTAGTCCATCGCAGGGTTACCCCCAGCTGCCACATATTGCCACATTGGGTGAAGAGAAGCACTGTGAGAGTAAAGTGTCTTGCCTAAGAACACAACACAATGACCCCGACCAGGGCTCGAACCCGGAACACTCGATCCGGAGTCGAGCGCACTAACCATGAGGCCACCGCGCCTCCAGGATTCATTAAGACCTTCTTTACTTAAAAAAATTTCAATAAATTTACTGTAGACGTCTGTGAATATATGCAAATTGATTTCATTTTGTTGTTTAATTGTTTATCGACATCTGATCACGAATTTCACATAAAGATATGTCTGATACATACTTAAGGGAAGATGAAGATTGAATTCGTACAAAATGTGATCTTTATCTTCGGCTTGATCATTCAAATGGTCACGAACTTACATTCTTCGCTGTAGATAAAAATACTACGTAAATGAAGAAATTCAACAAAACGCTGGCAAGGTTTAGAAAAAGAGGAGAAGGCAGCCAAAGTGCGAGGAATAACCCAAAAAAAAAAAGAGTAAGTGTTGTTTAGAATGGAGAAGACTAAAACGATATCTTTGAACAGTTAGAAGCCTCATAGCGTTTCCTTACTTGAGTGGCCACCACTGAAATAGAAATTGAAGTAACATGCTAAGGATTCAAAAAAAAAAAACATAAGTGCTATTTTAATTAACAATAAGCCCAAAACAGTCATAATTTTCAAAGCCATGGCGTTTAGATTTTAATTATTGGGTTTAAAGAAAGTATCGAACCATACATGATAAAGCAAACCGTTCCATTCCATTTTCAGCGGCGATTGCAAATTGCACGCTATTGTAAGAGTCGATACAATTCCTGCTTTTTGATTTTTCACTAAAATTGCATATTTTTTCATCCTTTTAGTAAAGGCCAAATTCAGTAATGACATTTCTACTCTTGAATGCTTTAACCGGGTGACTCTTGTCGATTGTAAATACCATAGACGACGTTTGAAAAACCCAAAGCACACATCCATTTTACCACTTGTTAGAAATAAATAACGCAATTTCTCCCCTTTTTTTGATAGAGGAGTCATGTTGATACGTGCGATCTAAATAACAACAGCTAAAGAATTTTAATCCCATCTTCCCGCGGAAACTCAATCGCGACATATCGTGAGAAAATTTTGCTTCTGGAACTTCAAATTTTCGAAACTCATTTGCGTCTTCATTTTCCACCTTATGGTCTGCGTCCTTGACTTGAAACTTCTGTCAAATATCGCTTCATCAAGTTTAGTCAAGTTGTCTGCTTTATGAGGAACGTCGTCGAGACTGTTAAGTTACTGATGGAAATAAACATGAAATACCCCAATTTACACAGTAGGAAATGATAACAGGAAACTGCCGGCGTTATTCCGTTCGATCCAAAATCAAATCCAAATACTCTACAATTTTTTGCACGAGAAACAGCTTTTAGCGCTAATTGGAAGGATGTTGATTGAAGGTATGAGGTTTGTTAACATATAAGAATCTTCGTCCGTTTCTAATTTTGAATTTATGCTCCAGTGAGTCTACTTCGTCATGGGAACGATTATAAATAGTGAAATATTTGAAGCAATTTAGAAAAAGTAATTTTTCCAGAGAACAATTGCCAAAAGAAGTCTTTTTAAGGAAAATATAAGACAAAAACAAAACAATTTATTTCAGGTACAATTATTTTAAATGTGGTCGTGGTTAGTTCCGTTCTTTTACATCAATCTTTAATGAAGGAACGAAAAAAATGGTCGTATCACAAAGCAATCACGGATGGTGCAATCACAGAGGTGAGAAGCGCGGATGTTGCAAAGGATAGCTCCAGATTTAAATGAATTATGGAAGGTTGATATGCATTTCCTTGAAAATTCATTAATCAACAGTAGCCCTATCAGTGTTGTTTTTACCTACCGCATTTACTATGAATAACGTGACGATTTTAGCATATTCCATGTCACTTAAGATCATTAGCTTCTTCAACTGTTTCCTTTGAGATCGCTAGTCAGGCGTCACGTCCTGATGAAGCAAGTGATTAAGGTAAGAGAAGTTTGAGAAAAAGTCGTGTTCTTTATCCTATAAAACCCGGTTTAACTACTGAAAGGCATCTTGCTGTTAGACTTAAGACTTGATTTATAAAAGTAGCCAAGCCTACCCAAAAGAATTCTCTGGTTAAGAATTATCAAAACCTAACGCTTTCAGCATCCACTTCCTATGTGCTTGAAACTACATCGGTAGAATTGGAATATAGTTTACTTCGAGGAAAAAAAAAACGTCCAAATCTGAGGAGAACTGAAGAAAAAAAAAATATTTTGCCTCATGCATGCATGGTTTTATGAACGTCCGCCGTAGTGTTGACTTCGATAATGTTAGGGGTATTAAACAAAGGAAACTTTCGAACTCGGAAAACTTTGAAACCTTGGCACTCTAATACTAATGAAGCAAACAATAGGGAGAGCAAAGGGGAGGTGCCAAATCAAAATATTTAATGGTCTAAATTATATCTCAGCACAAATGTTTTGAGACTTTGTAAATTTTCTGGCCGTCCTAGACAAAACAGGAACATGAAATCGCTTGATTTTGCGCAGTCTTAGAACAAGAGCCTCAATGGCAAATAATTCAGTTTGTAGCTTACTTTCAACTTTACGCTGCATTTACATGTTAAGTTGAAGGGTAGATCTGGTGCCGTTGAAGACGATAAACACATCGAGCCAAGCTACCTATGAATTACTTAGGAGAAACGAAAGTTTGTCTTTAAGAGGTGTTTTCCAGGCAACGCCTGTGTGACAAAAAGTTTTTCTTTCCGTTTAAATTAGTACGATTGTTCGTTACTATAACGTTTTCTAAAAAAAATCTTTTAGGCCCGCCCTCTACGAAAATTTGGAAAATATGTTGATAGCTGTGTAGTTTTATCGAAGACTGTTAAAATCCGCTTTAAAACTCTGATAGTTTTTTATGAGAGAGAGACTTATTTTCAAGCAAGAACTGTCTCTTTTCTTCGAAAGAGGAGATAAAAACTCGCACCTTCATCGTGATTAAAAATATCACACCCTCATCTTACCGCGCGTTTGATTGAAAAAAACAAATCCTCGTGTTAGCGCCTCGTTCGAAAACAGCTGTGCGCCAGAAACAGGGTCTTCAATCACCTCGAGGCTCTGTACAGAAAATCGTTACTTTCGATTGTATTGAACACCGATAGTATAGTAAAGAAATATTTTCGTGCGTTGCGAACTTTTGACTAAATGCGCTCATCCAGAGACAAGTCTTCCCAGGGGTACACCGACGGAGATCGATCTTACTAGCGCATATTTACACTACCCGCTCTCCAATGTAGCGAAATTGTCATTCCGTTTATTTTCTCGATCGGTTACCAGCTTTTCCGCCTCGCGTCGGCAAAAGTCCCTCGGCTCTACCAATAACGGAAAAGTTGAGCCGGAGCCATGGACCATTTCTTGACGCGGTATTAGTAAAAAATGAGTCGTGACCAAGTGACGATTGTTTTTTTTTTTTGCGTCTGATTGGTTAAAGAGGATGGCGCGAGTTTAGTAGACCAATCACTGACTACATTAATGCAAAAATGAAACAGTCTCAGATTACATTCGACACTCAATAGAATATTGCTGTATCAGGTTATTGATCGCAATTACGCTCTCGTTAGTGTTATTGAATTCGTTTTTCAACTCTCAATGTTTTTGAAATATGTACTCAAAATACATTTTGGCAGTGTAGAGAACAAGAAAATACTAGTTTGGTAAGGTGAAAAAATATACAGAATAAGCAACTTTAAACCAGGCTAAGAAGGGTAATTTGCTATTATCAACTGAGTTGATAACATAAATTGGCCAGCGGAGAAATTGGAGGAATTGTGGTTTGTGTACACACAACTCAAAATTCCTCCAATCGCTGTGATGAAAGGCTAACGCTCTAAACGCCATCTTTGAAATTCCTTACGGTGGCCAATTTTCGTTATCAACTCAGTTGATGGTTCTAAACTACCCTGTTATACTCTAACACCGCCGCAGCATCACAGTTTCGTTAAAAACTTACCTCTTTATTTCTCAAGCTAATTAAGAACGAACAAGGATAGCCAAGACCATGAAGAAGATTGACGCGGATTTCAAACGACTGAATATATTTGATGAGATGGAAAAACACAAAGGTAGAGACCATCATAAGCCATCAGTGGAACAAGGGTGGTCGGGCCTAGAATAGAGAAGATTTAAACGGATTGATAACATGAATACAACATATCTGTTCGGTGAGATACAAAAACACGAAAGACGTGATGATAAACAAGGAGTCACGGAAGAGTACGGCTTAGGATGGAATATATTAAAATGGATTGCAATTGAATTCAAAATATCAGTTTTGTAAGATAGAAAAACACAAAAGAAACACCAACTAATAACGGTGGTGCAAGGATAGCCAACGATGGCGAGGATTGAAAGAGATTACAAACATAACATTTGAGCCACTTGCACACGATTGCTCTGTCGCACTTTCCAAATAAAGTACCTGTCGCACTTTGTAATAAAGTCGGTTTAATTGGTAGGAGGGCAAGCAGACCCAATGATACCTGTCATACCCGTCAATAATGATAACAGACTGTTTGGTCTTCTGAACCAAAGAGGTGACAGACTTCTGGTT